GCATTGAATGAGCAAATTAAGTTGACCTAAGGTCAGGTATGAAGGTCAGACCAAGGTCAAAACCAACCTGTTTCATTGTTGTAGGGCTTGCTGTATGGGGTATTTTCCGGTGCTCATTTTGAATTCCTTGATAGGAGGAACCACATCATACATCTTCAGTTAACTTCTTAAAGGTCATAATAGGTCATTGACCTAAGATGACCCAGGTCGACATTTTTAAAGAACATGCTGCCAAGCGTAATCTTTGTCCCTTATTCAAATGCGAATCTCAGGGCAGTTTGTTATTATTTTGGTCACCATGACCTTCAAAAAGTCAAGCAATGTCACTGACCTTAAATGAGTTTGTGATCTTTTTGCTTAGAAGCAGTTATTCAGGTTCTGGGGACACTTTGGAGGCCAACCTGAAATTTGACCTTGTTTGACATTATTTACCCTGAAGATCATGACCTAATGACCACAAACTTTGACCCAAGTGTGTCACGTACAGGTCAACACACCTTGCAAATTTGGCATATCCAGCTTTCTTAGTTCCCGATTTCTTAGGGGGAGGACAAATTGACCCCCCTCCCACCCGAGCGGGGGGTATCTAGCCGGCTACCCGGTCGTGTGTTAAGGTTCCAGGTAAAATGCAAGGTGAAATGATAACAAACCTCATCTATTTTAAGGTCACCCGTCGAATTCGAATTTTAGGCATAAGAATCTCCTTCAGCACACAAGCTTCAGTCTCTAAAAAAGTGCAGATCTCTCAAGTTCAGCCTTCAACGTCAAATTAAATATAAAATGAAAGAGAACTTCATATTATTCAAAAGTCACCCCCCCCCATTTTGTATTCTAAGCTTCAGGATCTTCTTCATCGCCTAACCTAACGTGTGCGGAAGTCTGAACCTCTCAATAACACCTTAAAAGGTCGAACTCAAGATCAAATGACTCCCGCACTCCGAATATTTCCCAGCGCCCGTCCTAGCGAGCATCGAAAGACCCCTTCTTCTCAGGGCGAGCCTTTACGGCCAAATTGAAAAGTTACGGTGAGATAAAATACCGTTGTAGTAACCTTATTGATATCGCACCTTCGTGACAACTGATTCCGACGGTACTTTATTATATCATTGAGGTGGCATCATTGGGCTCATTACGTGAAGGTACCTTGTAGCCGATCTTCGCTTCCAAAAGGAATGTTCCACATTTGAAGACAATGAAGCAAAGCATCAGACATGATGAAATAAACTAAGTTATAGCTATTGGCACGTTTTTTTAAGTGGAAAAACCGACCTAGACTACAAAGTTTCTCTATTTAGTAGATATGCTACCCAATACGTAATTCTTTGCTCACGCCATGGGCCGTCTGTATGACACAAAGGTGCTGCCAAACTAGCCGCGCGAAATTTTCACCTTCGCCCTTACTTGCGGTACTTAAAACTCGCTGAGAGATGACAATGGTGGTGCCGGAAGTGTTCGCTGAGGTGAGACGACACACCGATACCTCTGGCTCCGTCAAGAAATGACTCGCGGTGCCGGAAGTATTGGTATGTGCCCTTTTGCTCGTGCCCTTTCGCGTAGTATTCTTGCACATCTACGTTGTCTACGTTCTATATTTACCCGTATTCACGTACTCGGTTTTGACGTCATAAGTCGCTCGATTACGAGTCTTATTTTCGTCATAACAGGAAAGCGAAAAACATGTCCAACTTCTTATGTTATACAGCACAAAAATTGGCATGTGACTGAGGCTTGCGCAGCTTGCTCAACATTGATTGCGAGCCAATTGACGTCCACTACGTACGTCTGGAAATCGTGCTTACGAGCGCCTGATCGGAATTGACAAACAATAATATATGTATCTGCCTTAAACGCCAGCTGGCATAAGTATAGCATGGTTTAAATGACGATCATTGGCGTCATGCATGCCTGAGTGGCCTTAAAATAGTTTGCCCGAAATGGTCTGTGCATATTCGCAGGCTTGTTACTCAGAAATATATAATTTCGACCTCAAGAAAAGCAGGGCTGTGAACTGCACTGAATGATCTTCAAATGGCTATTTCCGTTTAAAACCCCGTAAAATGTGAAACACTGTTTAAGCATCGAAATCGTCTTCAGCGCAAAGAATCAGTGGCCACCGAAAGGTTCTGACCTCCTGAGATCAGCCTCCGAAGTCAAATGGATGGTCAAACATCGGAGTTTTACTTCAACTAAGGTTTGCAGGCCATAAGCATCATCATTTTTCTAGCACAGAACCTAGCGTCAGTCTCTAGTATATCACTCGAACTAGAATGACACGTAATTCCATTTCACTTTGAAGGGGCGAGGCACTTTTGCACGCACCAGTCTTCTTCAGCGCAAAAGCCAGTTCCCGTCGAAAGATTTGGACGTTTCAAGGTCACCCCTCACCGTTAAATGAGAAGCCAAATGACGGGTCCTTCATTTCCCGCAAAAGGTATTCTTAGGAAGGTCAGGATCAGAGCAGATAAAATCGACCAGCCACTTTTGGACGAAATGAAGCTCCCAATGTGTGACCTTTATGGTCAGCGGACCACAGCTCTTACGTTGAAGATTCCGGTGCTAAAATTGAAAAATAGACCGGAAACTTCTTGATAACATTAAAATACTACGCATTTTACCCTGCATTCAGTCATGAAAGTAGACTCGGGAAGTCACGATCATTCGACGGACACTTGTTTGCGCGCTGAAGGAGAATAACTGAAGGAACATTATTTTAGCAGTCCGAAATCAACCGGCAAATTTTGGGCGAACTGGTGTTTTCAGGGCCGCCGCCAATATTTGCTAAAGGAAGGGGAGGACTCAGTGGACTGTTACGGTAAGCATACACGAGCAGGCACAAAGCCCGTTAGGCCTAACTACACATGTGCCATTTTTCTATTATTTGAAACAAATGTGTGATTTGGACCGTCAAAATCGATCGTAAATGGCTCTAAAGTGCACTAACGCGTATATGATACATATCAAATGTGAAATAAATAGATACTGACGTAAGCAACACGTACGCTGAAGCACGAAAGGAAGATTCTGTGCACAACCAGTACACAAATTGGGTCCATTTACGCGGCATCTCATCAGTGCACCCGAATTTTCAGGCGCACTTTCTGCAATTATTGTATGATCATTCGAAGGGACGGGTGCAGCACTTCCATATGCAAGCGCAGGGGTCTGCCCGGTACATGGTCTTGGTCTGCTCACCCACGTGCATGTCTTCAGGCCAGCTGTCCTACCCCTACTTCACATGACACCCTCCAAGTAGACATCACTCAGTTTTCAGTTATCAAAAATGGGTTTTAAGTATCCGATTTTCTTGAAAAAGGACAATATGATAGCTAAAAAATATCGCTTCAGAAAATCATGCTGGTTATGCCGTAAGTCGGCTCATATACTGTCATATATCAGTAACATCAGTCGCTTAATCTCAGCGCCACTACAGTTGATAATTGCGACCTGCCTCCTCAAGGAAGTGTGGATCATTCGTACACATGTCAGCTAAAGCTGACGTCATTGCTGAGCGAACTGGGTTTCTGTATCCTTTATTGTATGGTACCAATGACGTCAATAGGATACCAGGCAAACAGAAAAGGCATTCCAATGCCAGCCAGAGGGCCCTGCGCGCTGATCAGGGCCCCTGACTCGATGAGGGCCTATAAGTCAGTCATCCACCGCTGGCAACGCAGGGTCTGCTCCGTGGCAGCATGGGCCTGACGGCCCATTTCCCAAGCAGTGCCAAAGCCGAGGCCAACGATCTGCATTGGTCGGGGCCCCTCAGCGCTCAACGGGGACCATTTGCTGGCAAGGGCCTCAATTCGGCCAGAGGCAATGTTCGAGGGGCCCGAAGAGCCTAGAAGAACCCCCGGGCTCGACAATTAAGGGCTCGATTAAAGGGTCTTTATTAAGGAAGGATTGAGGCACGAAGTGGTGGTCAGAGTCTTATTCAGGGGCCTCGACCTGCCGGACGGGCCCTCAAATGACGGTCAGAGGGCTCCTTGCGCCTATCAGGGCAACCTAAGCGGGTTGGGTCAGTGTGCTGGTCATGCACAGCCAGTACCTCGCAGTACGGTCCGTATCGTTATGGATATGAGGGCCCACTTATCAATCAGTAAAATGCCGGAGCCAGTGAATTGCACTGTTCGGGGCCCCTGCATCCGCTAGGGACTTATAGTGCCTAACAGACGGCCCTGTGCTCGCAAGCGGCCCAAACCGGTCAAGGATAGTGTTCGATGGGGCCCGAAGAGGGATCCGGGGACGCGGCGCGACCAACTATCGAAGGTTTAGTGAGGGATAAGGGCCCGAAATACCGGCTGGAGGTCACGTGAAGAATCACAGCCCATGGGGTCGTGGTCTGAAATATCAGTCCGAGGTCCTCTTGTACTTTTTGAGGAGCACTGAGGCGATGCGGGCGTCTGAGTCGGCCGGAAACCACGCATGGCGAACAGTTGGCTTCCTGTTAGCCTGAACCCTAGGGACCCATTTCCCAAGCAGAAGCAGGACCGGGGTCATGATTTGCGTTGGTCTGGGTCCCTGAAACAGCGTTTGGGGTGGAGTCCGCGATTTGCGATGTTCGAGGCCCCTGACACAATGCGTGGCTCCTGTGTTGGTCAGGGGCCACAGTGACTAACGGGGACCGTGTGACGGCAAGTGGCCCGAGTCGGCCGTCGCCACACAACAAGCCGACTCTGTAGACCTCAACCTCCATAAACGGTTGATCACTTTTGAAAACGCAGCCATTGATCGGTATCCCAATGACGTCATCAACATCACGTAATAAAAGATCTCATCCCCTTTGAAAACGCAACAATTGTTTGGTATCCCAATCAGAAACCAGTGAAAGAACATTCACCTGGCTCTGACGTCATCATCAGCTGACAAGTGTGCACATTAGACGAACTACACTTAGCTGAGAAGCTAAACAGCACCACTATCAGCAGCACTAGCGGTGTGAAAGCACGGGTTCGGGGCTGGCGACGCTATTTCTGATGTATACAATAATAAGTGGATTAAGGATGTAAGCAGCATGCTTTTCCGAAACAATGCCCTTCAAATAACTTGTCGTCTAGTTTTCAAGAGAATCGTATGATTGAAACCTACTGTTCTTGAAATCTGAAAAGTAAGTGACGCCTCCTTGGGTGGCCTCCCTTACCCTATGCCTTGGTGTTGTATTGCCCTGGCCTTGACTATAGCTGTAAGGTTTTGGGATCAAAAGCCTATCTTTTGTGGTAGACGGACAGTGCGACGCAAAATTTTTCAAAGTTTCTAGCAATCCACGATATGCTGATCTCACAGAGACGAAACAGTGACTGCATGCAAGTTCCTGTTGTCATGCTTCAATTTCACAACTCTAATTCGTACCGCTCATATAGTGGTGGGGGCGTGGGGGGGGGGAGGGGAAAAGGGCCGCGCCTGATGCCAGGACCGCAGTCGTTCACGTGTCGTCCGGCGTCCCAGTTACGGACGTTCCGCTGTCATTGCAGTTGTTACAGTGCCACCAGGTCGCAGCCGCTGGGCTGGATTGACGGGCCAGTGGGAGAGAAACCTCTGTGACAACCCCCAGAGAACGTAAATTTTTACCTCATGTCTTTCCATGCATAGCCATAGGGGCCATGTTGGATATTCCCCGGAGTTGGGAGGAGGACGCGAGCAACTGCCGCCCCCCCCCCCATCAATTCCCCACCCCTCACAGACAAATTGGCCTTGCGGTCATCTTTGTCATCCCTCAGGTCTTTGTAGTCCTTCCAGAAGAAACCATTCCTCATCATCCCTGAGCTCCAGTTTGGCTCACCCCGATCTGTTGGCTCACCGGCCTCACACATCGGTGACTTCGCGTGCCCCCCCCCCCCCCCCCCTCTAAGTACCTCACCTAGCCCCATGGAAATCTGTAGCAAAATGGTTCGCTCTAGCGCGTAGGAAAGACGAGAACTTATTTGTGCATAGGCGGTTTATACTTGTCATCTCAGCGGGATTTGTGGAACTACACCCCGGCGCACAGACACTGGGTGTGAACAGCTATCACCGGAATGTTTGGATAGCAGAAGATGCGCCCACGTGCGACACTTATCATCATAAAAGGCTTTGTAGTCCCTTGTTCCACGTATCTGTGCCTGACCTGAAAAGACACTTGTTTCGCATCCATAAACCACTGGAAATTTGCATACATTGTGTTCCGAACAGCATCATAACACAGCGAACAGGGGTAGCTGTATCTGGCTGTCTGACTTGTGCTACTTCCAATGGGAGTGGATGGTGCGGATACTCCCTTCGCACTGTTTGCTGCTCCAATGAGCGCATGTCTGTTTTTCCCTTGCCATTTGAAGGCGCTGCAACCAGCGAAGCGGATGATGACAGGGATGTCATTTTGCAAGCTCCCGTTGGTCCCGCTACCATTTATACGAACAGCATACAGGAACAAAGCAGCGTATGTTAAGCAGGCCGGCGCGCCTCTCCACAAACAAAAACTGGACTGGCCTCAATGACGTCTGAATCTTTTGCTTCCCCAATCTCGCTGATTGCGCAGATAGGGAATGAACTAAGAGGACTGCCGACTTTTGAGAACTTGACATGATACCCACGACGTCACGGCGAAAAGTGTTTCAAACCCCGCTCCCCCCTCCCCCCCCCCAACCAATCAGTTCTGTCCCGCTGGAGCACTTTGTGATTGGGGTTTGGAGGATGCTGCTGTTCGTGGTGTCCAATAGCTAACCGACTAATGCGAAGTATCCGACAATGGACCATTGGGTCATGATCCAGGTCAAACCGTTACGCCGTGTTCTGTGACCTACAGGGTAGTACACCGACAATGACATGCATCGATGTTGGACCGCGTTTAGCGCAGTTTGGAGGAGCGATGTGAGTGCCGATCGGAGCCCCGCGCGTTTATGGGAGTTGTTCAGATGACGCAGCTTGGCTAAAATGTCGGCATCCGTAGATAATTACTTACGCGATTGACTCAGGGGTCCCCGATCGGCGCAAAGGGCTTTTTGACAGGCATTTGAGGATGGATTATGGCCTTATAGGATAGTGGAACGGAATGGCAAATTTTAACTACACGCGTCGCAATAGGAATTTTTGTTTCTGTCGAGTGGCATGCTTCGTTTTTGACAATTTGCGATATATATATATATATATATATATATATATATATATATGTATACATATATGTATGTATGTATGTATATATTTGTTTGTTTCGCTACGATATAGGCCTTGACGCTGAATGACGCTGAGGTCAGCCGGTCGATGTAGCTTCAGAACTTTACTATTAAAGCCCACAAGTGTATGGTGTCAACCGGTTGATTCAGTGTCAGATACAGTATCTCACCTTAAGTGATCTCCAACTCAACGAACATTTGGAGAGATGACTAATATCCATGCCCTGTATTGTATACTTATCACGATCAGAACCGCGACATTAAAATAACTACCTAGCAGCGTAGTGAGATAAAATCGCACATCAAAACGGATTGTCATGTTTCACGACTTCATCTTACAAATGATCTAAACCAAGTCGCAGCTATTTATCTGACAAACTATGGGATGACGGCTTCGAGACGGGATGTAAAACAAAGTTTCCTACTCAGCTTGTCAAAATCGTTCACGGTCCGCTGGGCAACCCGGAGAGACCTCTGACGATAGGCGTGCACCATCCCGTATACGATGGTAAGAGTGCTGATGAAAAATATGGAGCCGAAGTGACAATGCGTAAGGCGAGGGAATCCAGGGTAATTGAGGCTGCGGCGTGGATGAGATGCGGATGACCTCAAAGTACACTGTGATGTCCTCCACGCCATTGGGTGGGCATCTGGGAGCTGAGAGCTGGATACCAGTGAGTCGAAATATTCTCTTGGTGGTCTTCCACCAGTTATTAGGGCTAGAAGTCATGCAAATCTCTGGTCAATAGACAGTTCTTGCTTGATTACGGGTGATACTGCCGGCATAATTGACCAAACTCGGACTTTGCCCTTTGCAATGTTTGAATGCATGCCGTGCATGTGTTCATATATATATATATATATATATATATATATATATATATATATATATATATATATATATATATATATCTCTCTCTCTCTCTCTCTCTCTCTCTCTCTCTCTCTCTCTCTCTCTCTCTCTCTCTCTCTCTCTCTCTCTCTCTCTCTCTCTCTCTCTCTCTCTCTCTCTCTCTCTCTCTCTCTCTCTCTCTCTCTCTCTCTCTCTCTCTCTCTCTCTCTCTCTCTCTCTCTCTCTCTCTCTCTCTCTCTCTCTCTCTCTCTCTCTCTCTCTCTCTCTCTCTCTCTCTCTCTCTCTTCGCTCTCTCTCTCTCTCGCTCTCGCTCTCGCTCTCGCTCTCGCTCTCGCTCTCGCTCTCGCTCTCGCTCTCGCTCTCGCTCTGTGTGTGTGTGTGTGTGTGTCTGTGTGTCTGTGTGGGTGTGGGTGGGTGTGTTTTCGTGTGTGTGTGCGTGTGTGTTTGTGTGTTTCTTTACAAGTGACACGATTGCTCTTTTGCTATATTCCCTACATTTTCCATTAACCGCGATATGCCAGAGTGGAATACTGCCATGTGCATCTTCTGACAAATCAATAATCATGGAGCCGTCGGTTAAGCACGAACTCCTGGTGAAGTTCGATTATTGTCATACTTGGAACCCCCAACGGACAATGACGGAAAAGTCAGGAGTTACAGGATTTTCTTGCTTATAGCAAGTCACCTTGCCATGCTCCATACTCTCCCCACCACCTCTCCTTGACCTGTGTGCAGGCCTGGCCGAGCTCTCGGTCATTGTAAAAGACGCCTGGCGAGCTTGCACGTCACACGCTGGGTCCGACTCGCACGGGCCCCAACGATTAATTCGACTCATCATGATAATGCGTCGAAGCATACATGTGATATTGACATGGTGCGGAGGCATGTAGCATTAAGTATGCGGAAGTTCCACAAAGAAAACTTATTGTATGTGAGCAGGCTCGTCCCGAAGGCCGTCGATTCTGGGCTGCTTTTACCGAAGTTTTGTTGGCAGGACAGATCCGATGATATCTGGCCGCGGAGCTCGCCAACATGGCCGATAAACTTCACGTCAAGTCCGCTCACGATTACCAGGGTAAGCACATCTCGAGGCCTTTACGTACATGCATATTCTGAAGACGAGGTAGATAGGACGAACAGATCTCCGTCATTGCAGATAGTCTTGCTAGATGCTGGCCACAATCAGCCCGCGCTCATAGCGCTCGGTAAGGCGGGCAGGTCATTTCACTGAACAATGACAGTTGGTCAACCGACAACGTTATCTATTGATTGACTGACTTTCGGGCTGTTTATCCATGTCGCTGTACGCTCTACCGATGTGCTGGGTGTGTTGCATGGTAGGTATTAAATATTTCAATGAAATGTTTCACATCATATTGACCGCATTACTACTGCTCTTCATGATCAAGTGGTGTGCGTCTTGTTGTTCCAACTGGGGGGCGGGGGGGGGCTTGAATTTTGGTGCGCCATGGCCGCTGAGCGCTGATATGGCCAACACATTCGCCGGTGTTCCGTGCAAGGGTGCGTAACACCGTGCGCCGCGTTATCTTACAACAAAACTGCGACGAGGCGCTGTTACCGGTGGGCAACGCGATATCCCTATCTTCTGTTGCGTGCACACACGACAGCCGTGGCGTAGCAGTAAGTATTCTTCCGACTAATTGATATCGGCTAAAGCGTGTCCGCATGAGGCTGAAACATTGCGGTCTTTCCCTGATCATGTAATATTACTGCAGTACTCTTTGAACTTTGAAAGACACTACTTCCATTACAACCGATGTTGCGGTAATTCATTATGCCCTTGTATTGCAGAGGCACTTGCTTGGTGAGTTGCAGAAAGGACTTCCCATTCGTGAGTTCGTACCCTTCGTAAGCACTAACCATTTTTTAGCGCTTACCCACGGGCCTCTTGGATGGACCAATGAAAATGTGCTGCTTGCGTCGATTGTCAATACTTATCTTAAGTGTGGTGAAATGTTCCTGATGATATATTTAAAGTGAGACTCAACCCAAAGCGCAGTAAAAGGGTTAGCACTGCGTTAACACTCGCCTCGTGGCTCACTGCTCACCGATCTTTTCGTGTGTGTCCATGAGTGTTACGTTGACACAGACATTGTTTGTTTCTGCGACGTACTGTACGCCACGGTGGAGTTGGCAGCGGCTGTATCGCCACAGCCAAAGCTTTACGCTGCGTCACGGTGTGAATTTCAATCACCCTATTTTAATCCTGCACACTAAACCCACCACCTTTCGATCCGTCGCATGCTCGGCCGGTAACATTGGCCCTGACCTGCCCCACCGAACCGCTGTCTGGACGGAGTGTCCCCGCACAGTCCCGGCTGACAGCCGCCGCTCACGTGCCGTGTGCGCCAGCCTCGAGTGCATCAGCCACCTGGTGGGGGACGGCGGCGACGTGGCGCGTCTCGACCCGCTGCTGATGAACTCCTTCTACGAGCGGTTGACGGCCAACCTGGCGCGGCTGCGCGCCGCCGAGCAGCGGCCCCACCTCAGGGTAACTGAGCGCTCGGTGGCGCACTGCCTCCGCGGCGGAGCGGCGTACTGCCGGCCCGCTCCGGGAGGTGGGACCGCTCCGAGCGGTGACCCCACCTCAGGGTAACTAGGCGCTCGGTGGCGCACTGCCTCCGCGGCGGAGCGGCGCACTGCCGGCCCACTCCGACTGCCAGGCCGGCACTGCCAATGACATTTCAGTTCTGGTGTTAAATAAAGAGTGTTAAGTTGATTAAAAAAGTTCACTAAATAAAGAATGAAAGGAAGGCGCGGTTTTGAGACATGATACCATCTCGGCTCATTGCGTGGGTCATTGGCAGTGGTGTCTTAAAGTTGCAACAATTGTTGTGCTGTAAATGTTAAAAACATGATAACGCAAGGATGAGAGCGCGGTTAAATCGTGGTAGGGTCACCGAGATCCGGACTTGTCCAAACAGTCCCGCGGATTGAAATACATGGCATCATGGCAGACACCTTGGAGGTGCTGTGAGACGCTTTCCTCCCAGACTATATCATTAGCTTGGTCCTGCAATTCATTTGACACTCGCTCGGGCGAGGTGGGGCAACTCCCCCCGCCCCCGCGAAGGTTTCTCCAGAACCCCTTCTGAATGGCGCGGCGTACCTGCACCAAACTTTGTATTGCCTGCGATAGCTATATGGATAGCCAATCTTTCGGTATACGGAATTAAATATGCCTCGTAAAGTCGATGACCTGAGGCAGGTCAATGTCAGGCAATGGTTAGTTTGCGAAGGGAACTCCCAGGGAATCGTTGAATCTGGTCCGTCAACGGAGTGCTTTGCAAAGTCGCTCATCTTTAAGACGTTTTCTTAGGATAATGACTGGTTTTGTTGACCTTAAGTCAGATAGGGAGGTCATATCGTGGTCAAAACAAATTCGCCTTATTACTGGGAAACTTCCATCGTGGGGTAGTTTTGGCATTCCTTTCAAAACCACGGAGACGTAAACATATGTCATTGTTGTGTTTATAAAGGTCATGGAAGGTCAATACCGGTCAGCCTAAAAGTGTACCGATCAACCTTTTGCTTCGATGATCATGCCGCTTAGTGCAGTTCTTTACGCTGATTTGAGATTCAACTATCGACACAAACTTGAATGTGTTTGTTCACCTTGACCCCCTGAAGGCCAAATAAGCTTACAGACACACGAATACCAGTGATACCTTGCGTTTAAGAGGTATCTATATGAAGGGTGACTGCATGAGGACGTCCGATGGCACTTCGGATACCAATCTGTTGCCAGGTCTTGTTTGACCCTTTGGCCTATATGACACAACCTAGTGACAACAATGTGTTCATCGACGCAATGGAAAAAGTGATTCATTTCGTCCAATGTGATCAAACGGCCTGTGATGCAGAAACTGTTTAAGCTGCTGGAGCTTCTCGCTGTCTGAATACAAGGGGAATGATGTATTTCACAACGTATTGCAACTTGAGATGTACAGAACGTTTTGATTTCTCCTCGCGTTCAGGTGATTTCGATGTTATTATTTATATGTTAAAATGATAAACCACCGGGGTATCATTTGCTGGGTGCACTATACCCGACTGCTGCGCTGAACTATGTTGGTATGTATAATTCCGTTGTTCAGCTTGCCTTGATTGTGTGCGAAATATTTGTTGAAAGCTGGCCTTGAGGAAACGTTTAATGTGAGTTAATGTTTGTTCAGTTTTTTTGCACATTTGTTTTCTTATGAGCCCTTGGCCATCATTCTGTTCATCATTACGTTGAAATGGGTTAAAAAAACTAGAGAGATTTTGCATGATGTATTATAGAACCTTTCCAGTGATGTTGAACCAAAGCTTAACAAAATATCTTAGAAATTACTTGTAGCGGGACATGCGTGCCGTTTGTATTGCCATTTGTCTGCTTCCAATTGCTTTGTCTTATTTTGTACGTGCTGAAATGGTCCCTCGTTTTCTTGAGCTGTCATTGGGCGGCACAAGCCAGGTCACTATTTACGGTCCGGTCGCAAGAAAATTTGCTTATTAGATCGCAGATACGGCGTGAGGCGGGGCTTTAACACATTCAGCATTCTAAGGGTGTGCATCTCACGGATCTACGTCCTGACGATGCGCACAGAAACGAAATTAACTTCGTTCATTCAGTTTTTATCTTGAAAACAGGCTGTGAGTGCCAACGATTTTGTATCTTGGTTTTACTTGAAGCTTAGTCAAGGGCAACTCCGTGTTGATTGCGCCGCCGAGCTCTGCAGCTTTTCGTCAGACACTTTCGGGACGCCGGGCTTTTATTTTGATTCAAAATCGTTTCGCTTTGGCCTGAATTCTGACCAGCGTAGTAGTTAGCGCGTGGAAGCAGTGGCAAGCAAGCTTGCTGCGTGTTGCTGGTGAGTTATTTCCATTTTTATTCAGATAACAGCGCACAAGATATCCCGCTTCTCATTGACGGTCAACTGTCTTGCAGTATTGGGCATGATGCGAAATCGAGTAAGCCCATCTTTACGAGATCAGCATGATCAGCATGTGCGCGGGCGCGCTGATCCGGTGCGGCGGCGCGAGCGCGCTGACCCGGCGCGGCGGCGCGAGCGTGCTGACCCGGTGCGGCGGCGCGAGCGCGCTGACCCAGGTGCGACGGCGCGAGCGTGCTGACCGGGTGCGGCCGGGCCTCGTTCCAGGACAGCCTGCAGTCGCTGCTCGACGAGAGCCACCATCAACGGGCCAAGATTGACCGAATCTGCAGGCGGCTCCCGCTCCAGAGGAAGCTATCCAAAAAAGGTGCGCTGGGTTGGCGCGTTTTTTGTTTTTGTTTTTTTTTTTTGCTCCTTTTACTCGGGTATGACGGTAGGTAAGTGCTCTCTCACCGGTCCATATAGAGATGAACAGGCTTCATATAATGCACAAGGTGCCTCGCTGTGTGGCAAAATGTAAATGTAAATGGACGAGCCGTCCATCAGGTCCTCAGCAGTGGATGTTTTCGTGTCACCGCCCTTAAAGTTGATTTTGCGAGAACGCCGTCCACCGCAAGTCAAGTCTGGAGGTTGTGCGTCGGTTGTGTTGTGCTCGGCTGTCGGAAGTGCCGGCGAGCGTCGCATTAAGCTCCGCTGTCAGAAGTACTAGCGAGCGTCGCATTAAATTTTACAACTGCGTCATGCATGCATTTTGCTCGTTGAACCGAGATGGAAGACCTTGAAACGCAACGCTTCCCAGAAACTATTTTTGGCATCCGAGATCGTCCTTACGTCAAAGCTATTGCAATGTATGAACACCCATTATCTGCACTGTTACTTGAGGATTTGGCCTGGTGCGATGTCCTACATTTTGTGGTATTAGTATTGGTTCGGCTGTGCTAAAAAGTAGTTGCAACTTCAATTTTTTATTTTCATTCGCCCTGCGCAAACCCAATCGCAAAATTCTCAACCGATCAAAGGACGAAAGCAAAGATGATGCCTATGTGAAATGTTACAAATATTAAAAGTTCGGCTCGATGAGTGCCAAACCTTTTCAAATCACGACATGCACACAAGAGGCGGCGCCGCAGATTTTGAGTGGGGGAGGAATTTCCAGAAAATGGGGCTTGGTCACAGGGGACTTCCCGGACAGTGTTGTATTTAATGCAGCGGGGGATCAACGAGGACACGTGATTCCCTATCGGTTTGTTACATTATCAGTATTCATGTAAACAAATAACAAGCAAAAATCCAGAGCAGGGGCCTTCTGATTAATCCCGATCTCGATCCAACACAGGACCTTTCTGAAATCAGGGCTTCCTGTGCCAGGAAAGGGCCTCCCGAGGCGTAGGGCGGCCGCTTGATCCCGAGCAGGATCCTTCCCATTCGCAAAAGGGCCCTCCAAATTTAGCGAAGGGCCTCGCTATTCCAAACAGGCCAGCCGGATCAGGAACTGTGGCTATCTGAAACTGTTGCCTGAAATGGTGCCAGAAAAGGGCCCTAAGGCTAGAAAATGAGTCTCTTAGTTGATAAGGGGCCTTAATTGACAAGAACACCAAGAAGTTCATGACCGGGGCATCCCAGTTCAGAACGATGGCCTCCTGGTTCAGAATGGAAGTCTCCTAGTTCAAAGCTGGGGGGGGGGGGGGACTGCTAGCTCATAACCGGGGCCTCCTAGCGCATAGCCAGGGCCTCTTAGCTCACAAAGGGGCCCCCCGAACCAGCAGCGGGCCATCGAGTGGAGGGTCCTGATCTAGAGCGTGGTGTGCCTAATTTACAAAGGTGGTCTCCCGGTAAGGCGGTAAAGGAACCCCGATGTAGGGCAACTGCTCCCTCTGCCCCCTCGCCTTCCCCTGCGCCGTCCCCGTTAGAGACGGTCCCGGCCGCTCACGAGCCTGCGGGCCTGCCAGTTGAGCGCCGCCGCCGCCGCCGCCGCCGCCGCCTCCGCCTCGGCCCGCGCCAGAGAGGCGGTGCTGAGCGCCTGCCCCTGTGTTACAGACTGTGCCGGCGGGCCGAGCGGACGTCAGCCACCGGCGCCCGCCGGTGAGTCGCCGCACGTGCGGCTCCGCTGCGTGTCCGCGCTCGTTAGGTTGGCCTCTGGCACTGTGTGCGGTATTTGGGCCCGCGGTGGTTAACATGCGGCGGTGGGTGTGCGTCTGTTTGCTTTTTGTGCGTGGAGCGGGTCTCTACAACGTTGTGTATTGGCTGGAGGGCAATTAGTGTCCAGGGAATGTTTGCATTCGGAAAGCAGTATATTCGCCCGGTTCTGTCGAGCATCTGAGGTCCGTTCTTCACAGACAAACGCGGTCACGAGGTGCTGTGACGTCAGTGGTGTGCTACCTGTGACGTCACATTCGTAATGTAGTTTGCTGTGATGTGTCAGATAGCTGCCGTGGGACGGTGTTTCCCATGTAAGAACTGGTCTCAGGTTATCACGATTGGACATGTTAATGCGACTGTGTTGGCGTACGCTTGTGCGTCTTCAACGTGCCTTTATAGTATCTATATCCCCTTATTATCCTTGGTGTTAGGCTTTTTATTTGATCGATGCTATTTATGATCCCAGATGTGTAGCATCTGCCTGAATCGACATTTGTGGTTGTGGTTGTGTGACAATCGACATTGGTGGTTCCAATGTCAATTGTCCAATGTGAATCTCCAATGTGGAATAGCCCCGCGGGGTGGGCACGTAACTCGCATTGAATTGAATCCTGAAATGTTGCTGAACAAAGAGTGGAGACATCGGCTGCGCACGAGTGTGCCTCGGCCGTTGCCGACGACAGCCAGTAGGCGTGCGTGTGCGTATGTGCGGTGCAGAGGCTGCGGTGCGGGACGGCGGCGGCGACCGCGTCTCGACGGCGGCGGGCTCGCGCTCCTCGCTGCGCTTCTCAGACGTGGCCGGCCTGGAGGAGGCCAAGGCGTCGCTAGCCGAGGCCGTCATCATGCCCGTCCAGTTCCCGCACCTCTTCACAGGTGGGCTCCGCTCGCCGGCCGGCCGCGCCGCCGGGCCGGTCGGCGGCCGCTGCGGTGCCGCGGCTGCCGCGGGCCGCCGCCGCCGCCGCGCCTTCCGCGCCCGGACGGTACCGCTTCGTCGAACCGGCTCTGCCACGTTGGTGCCCTGGTGTGCACGTCCAAGTTGGGCGCGAACTTCACCAGCGCGGCCGGCGAGTTCCGTCGGCGGTTTGGCGAACGCGCGTCCGAAGCCGGGTGCGGCGCGTCTGCGCCTCACCCCGCCGGCGGGCTGACGTGGCGCCGCCAGGGCCGGGCCGGGCCGGGCCGGCGCCACCCGGCCGCCCCACAACGACCGCCGCGGGGGCGGGCGCTGTGCCGTCCCGGCTTCGCACGCCGTTTGATGTATGACTGCCGCCGTGGCCCTTTTTGTGGCGCGCGGGTGGTTTGCGTTAAGACCGCGGTCGGCGACGACGTTGGAGTGGATGAGGCGTGAAGACCCTAGTGAACGAGCGAATGGTCTCGCTGCCCGTTGGAGGCTCGCTTCGGTTTGTCGGGGATGGCGGCTGACATCGGATTTTGTACCCTTGCAACTTACGGAGGCTGCTTTACGTGGTCGTTGTTGGATGCTAATTGGCTGGAATTCTATCCATGCAAGCTAACTTTGCCGGTTTTGCCTTCCAAAAACATCCCCACATAGCTGCATTTCCGCGCTCAGACTCGGCCACACCACGCGTCGGGACGGAGAGCCGTGCTGGTCACCAGCAGCTGTCTCTCGGTGAGCGTGACACGGTCTGGCGGCCGCGGTAGCCGACTGAGTCGCCGCATCGTGTCCGTCAGGCGGCCGCCGGCCCTGGACCCGCATCCTGCTGTACGGGCCGCCGGGCACGGGCAAGTCCCGGCTGGCGGCCGCCGTAGCTGGCGAGGCCGGCGCCACGCTCTTCCCTGTCTCGGCCGCCGACCTGCTCTCCTCCTACGTGGGCGAGACCGAGAAGTGCGTACGGCCGAATCCACGGCGCCGAGCTCGAACGTCCCGGTGACATGGTGTCGTCGCTGTTATGACTTCAACGCGCAACGAACTCGGCATGCTCGTAAGCGGGGATGCTGATCTGCAACAATGCTGCCAGTAATGCGCCCTTCCGCACCTAGCCGTTACAAATGTGGGCACGCGGTCGTGTATGATACTGGATGAGCCGCGGCCGGCAGCAGTCCCCGGAATCGGACCGTAGCGAGGCGCTCGCCGCCGGCAGGGCCGCCTGACCACCCCACTGTCGGCAGGGCCGCCTGACCACCCCACTGTCGGCAGGGCCGCCTGACCACCCCACTGTCGGCAGGGCCGCCTGACCACCCCACTGTCGGCAGGGCCACCTGACCACCCCGCCGCCGGCAGGGCCGCCTGACCACCCCACTGTCGGCAGGGCCGCCTGACCACCCCACTGTCGGCAGGGCCGCCTGACCACCCCGCCGCCAGCAGGGACGCCTGACCACCCCACTGTCGGCAGGGCCGCCTGACCACCCCCACTGTCGGCAGGGCCGCCTGACCACCCCGCCGCCAGCAGGGACGCCTGACCACCCCACTGTCGGCAGGGCCGCCTGACCACCCCACTGTCGGCAGGGCCGCCTGACCACCCCGCCGCCGGCAGGGCCGCCTGACCACCCCACTGTCGGCAGGGCCGTCTGACCACCCCACTGTCGGCAGGGCCGTCTGACCACCCCACTGTCGGCAGGGCCGTCTGACCACCCCACTGTCGGCAGGGCCGCCTGACCACCCCACTGTCGGCAGGGCCGCCTGACCACCCCACTGTCGGCAGGGCCGTCTGACCACCCCACTGTCGGCAGGGCCGCCTGACCACCCCACTGTCGGCAGGGCCGCCTGACCACCCCACTGTCGGCAGGGCCGTCTGACCACCCCGCCGCCGGCAGGGCCGCCTGACCACCCCACTGTCGGCAGGGCCGCCTGACCACCCCACTGTCGGCAGGGCCGCCTGACCACCCCACTGTCGGCAGGGCCGCCTGACCACCCCACTGTCGGCAGGGCCGTCTGACCACCCCACTGTCGGCAGGGCCGCCTGACTACCCCGCCGCCAGCAGGGACGCCTGACCACCCCACTGTCGGCAGGGCCGCCTGACCACCCCACTGTCGGCAGGGCCGTCTGACCACCCCACTGTCGGCAGGGCCATGTCGGAGCTGTTCGCCCAGGCGGGCCGGCTGCCGGGCCGTGCCGTGGTGTTCGTCGACGAACTGGACGGGCTGTGTCGCGTGCGCTCGGGCCGCGAGGAGGAGCACACGCGCCGGCTCAAGACGCACCTGCTGCAGCTGATGGACGGCCTGGTGGCCGGCCAGGCGGCGCGCACCTTCCTGCTGGCCGCCACCAACTGCCCCTGGGACCTGGACCCGGCCTTCCTGCGCCGCTTCCAGAGGCGCGTCCACGTGCCGCTGCCGGACAGGTGCGCGGCGGCCGGCGCCTCGCCTGGCGCGGAGATTTCTCCGTGGGTATTCAGCCCCCGCCTGGGCGCATTGGCAGCATCGGCATAAATATGAAAAAGATAGTCTGGGGCTGTCGATCTTGCGGAAAGAAGATCCCATTTCAGTTATTTATACTCGCGCTGAATTATGGCATTCACCGAACCCTGACGCCGCTCGGTCAATCTCGATAAGTGGTCGGCTTTCAAAAAGCTCGACTTACATCCCCTCGTCACTGCACTCTGGCACATGACACATGACGGACCGGTGGCGACGCCCCCGACCATCGGCCGACCGTGTCCCGCCTGACCCGGACGGGCGGGGTGGCGGGCCTGAGTCACGGCCAGCCCGGCCGGAGGGCGGCCCGGGTGTCGTCGGCCCGGCCCGCTCCCGACGGTGACGGCGGCGGCCGGCCGGTCAGGCGCCGCCGTCGCAGCAGCCGGCGCCGCCCCGACAGAGCCCGCTCGCACGACGCTCGGAACGATCCGCTTTCGGCAGTGTGTGGCTGCGTCTTAGCCTGCAGGGTACTGCTCGGTCTGTGTCGTGGAGAGGACCCTGCCCAGACACTGAGGGAGACGGTCTGGTCCATCACGGGGGGACCCCGGCTAAGCAGTGCCATACGTTGTTTGTTGGGCGCTGGCCGACACCGGCCGGGACAGCCGTTTTATCTGATCTGTGATGCACAGGTGCTGTTTGGCTGCTGTACGCAGAGCAGAGATACGCATGGCCTCTCACATGCCTCGCATGACAGTGTCCGGTCCATGCTGTGACCAACAAGCCGGCGGCTGATGTCTGCCTTGACCCGCCAGCGGCGTCTGACCCGTGCCGTGACCTGGATGACAGCTCCTCACCCGTGTTGTGCGCCGTAGGGTGCGTCTGCCCACCGCGACCTGCAGCGAGCCGCCCGCCATCTGCAGCGGCCCGCGGGGCGTGTGCTGACGCCGGCATGTGCCCGCAGCGCTGCCCAGAGACGGCTGATCGAGCTGCACCTGGCCGGCACGGCCACCAGCCTGACGGAGTCCGACTGGCGCGAGCTGCTGTCCGCCACCGACGGCCTCTCCGGCTCAGACCTGGCCGAGCTGACGCAGCACGCGCTCTATCAGCCCGTGCGCGAACTGGAGGCGGCGCACAGCTGGCGCCGTCTTGGCGACGGTGAGGCGACGGACGCCGCCGCGCCAGTGCCGCCGGCTCGCCGGCGTGTAGGCGCGACCGGTCCCGGTGCGCGCTCGGCGCCCGGCTGACCACGCCGGCGTGATTCCTCCCCGAGTCCGCACTGCTGGGCGGGGAGCAAGAGCGGGGGGGGGGGGGGGGGCGTCGCCCTAGGCCTCGCTCACGTTTCCCGTTTATCAGCGACGTCCGGCCGGAGATAACTGCGCCGGCTGTCGCGCTGGTCCGTTAGCTGCCGAGACAGGCGTCAGCTGCCGGTGGATGTGGTGCGCACCGCTCCACGCCGAGGTCCCCCCGCCGCCGTCCGGTCGGCGGTCTCGCGCCGCGCACGTGCGTGGGTGTGGGCCGGAGGAGGGGAGGGGCCGGCCGCGCCGCCGCTCGTCGCCGCCGGCCCTGTTGCGTCGGCACGTCTTCGAGTGGTCGCCGCCGTAACACAGCCAGCCACTCCGTCTGGATTAGCCCGTACGTCGCCGTCTCATTTGGCCGGACTGGCCGCAATTTACGGGGCGTGAAATGCAGGGACGTGACCGGCCGGGCCGGCGCCGGCTGACCCGGCTCGGGGCCGAGTGACGCCCGGCGGGCGGGCGCGAGCCGCCGCCAGGCCGCTTTAATGACCGGAGCTCGTGCTTCGCGCCGCGGCCCGGCGGCGTGTCGCCCACCCGCGCCGACTCGCCGCCGGCCGCGTGCGGATGGGGGATGCTGAGAGCGCTGGAGTCGAGGCCCCGCAGGTCTGCTGAGCCGGGGCGGGTGCCTGGTGGTCACAGGCTGTACGCGCATCCCCCGCTTCTCTAACTGGCGGGCTTTCTCCGTGGTAAAAGTGGTGCTGACGGTGATAGATGCGGAGAAGCCGGCAGCCCTCCCGCCGAGGTGGCTTTTACAGCTCAACACTGAAACACGGAGTCGATTAACTGGAGATGGGTGACCTAATGCGGGGATCCTTCTGTTGGCGGTGGCCCGTCGCGCCACTGCGGTGGCCGCCGCTGCGGCAGCACCCACCGAGAAATGTCCCGCCTCCACACCTTCATCTGCACTAACGGCCGCCTGCAGCGCTGTCAAGCCGCCATTTAGCGTTCACAAGTTAGCCCGGCAAAAAGCATGGGCAAGAAAGCACACCATGCCCGGGCGCGTCGAGCCAGTCAACACTCGAGACCGACAGCCGCGCTGTAATCTGCGGCCGGCCAGCTGCGCCCTCTGACGCCGTGCGCGGAGCCGGGCCTCCTCTCGCGGCGGCGGCGGCCGGTGCTCGCGGGCCGCTCATCGATCCGGTGTTTCGTCAGGCGGTTGCCCCGGGGCGGTGGTGTGCGGCGCAGCCCGCTGGTGGGGCATGCCCTGCGGCGAGATGGCCGCCAACAAAAGGTGATGCAAGCGAGCTGGCTCTCAGCTGCTCGATTCCAGTCGTTTGTGAAGTCGTTAGGATGCGGGGCGGCCATGAGCCGGGGTGGATGTGTCCCAATTTATATGGCTTTCATGTCACACTTTATGGCCTTACTTGGCGTGCTGTTCATGTTGGCCTGGTGGTTTTCGGAGTCGGTTCTTCAAAGGAGCAGAGCTTGGGCTTTCCCCGTAAAAACCGAGTTTGAGCCTGAAATATGGACAACATAGCGGCAGAGATCCAGCAGCATCAGCGTTGTTACTGAAAGTGTTTCCAGTTTCCAGAAGGAATCTAAAGTTTTGTGTCCTGATGCGTCTGTTGTTTTTTTCCTCGGAATTTTCCCTTTCTCTGGAGCAGTGAACTCCCTTGAATTCATACCCCCAGGTGCCTCAAGATTAGGGTCAGGTGGTCAGGTCAGGTGGAACAGAACTGCTCACCCGTGTCAAAGGACCCGATGCTCTGCAAGCTGTTATGTTGTGCGCTCAACATGGGGCCATCCGGCGGCATTCACCACCCACGACCGCTTGGGAGGGGGACAGTTTCCAGAGGGGAGAGGGACAGTTTCCCTCTATCTGACCTGGTATGCGGTGCCCAATTGTGGGATCGGAAGGAATAAAACGACAATTGACAGTTTCGTTTAGTCTTGCCAAGAACGTGCTGAGTTGGCCATTGTCACATGGCTGATGCAGTCAAAGGCCAGCATCACCCCAATCACGAATATCATCACGGAATCTCGAGCATCACGAAAATCCCTGAACGACTCCTTTGCCCCTTTATCAGCCGCAATGTTATTTGTAATGTAAGGGGCCGGCACAGAGAGAAAGAGCGTGTGCTTGAGCTCTGAAGAATCATGCATGCATTGAAGCTAATCAAACCATGCCAAGCAAACACCAGTTTAACTTTAGCATAAAACCCGGCCTTTACCCTTATCCAATGACATTGGAAATGCCAAGTCACCTAAGCAAGCATTTTCCGCTCTTGCGGCATGACAGCATATGTGTATATATATATATATATATATATATATATATATATATATATATATGTGTGTGTGTGTGTATGTGTGTGTGTGTGTGTGTATATATATACATGCTTGTTTTAATAAAAACGATCGCTAAATCTGCATAAGCAAGCTTTTTGATGCATCGTTCGAGGTTTTGCGTTCTCGACATAGCAGCATTTGTTAACATAAAGGATTATTCGTGCGCATTCACTCACATGGTCGTCGATGTCTTTACATTCTGACGTTTTGAGACCTTATCTCATCGCCGGATTTATACACCACCCAATAACTGAAGAATTGTGCAGGAGTATGTTTGTTTAGGGCCGAAGAGAAGTCATCGATAAAGATGTTTTATCAAACTTGACCCGGCAAGCCCGACAAGTTTAAATGCACCAATGTAGTGTATCAACAGAAATGCAATCTCGAAGGCTGCAAACTTTGCTTCATACACTACATTACTGTAACCAGGGCACTCTCGCAATGTCTGACGATACACGTACGCGACGGGGCACCTCTGGACCACATGCGATGCGAACACGGCAGGACATTAACACAGCAGCTGATGAACAACACTCACATTCAGGCATGCAATGGCAAAAGACGCCTTCAAATTTGAGAGAGCGCATTCATCAACGAATTTTCCCCAGCTCTGAACAAGCAGACACATTATTGCATGGCTCTTGAGTTATAAGGTGGTAAGCGGTAGCTACGGTACGCCTGATTGTGACTGTGTTTCTATATGTGTGTAGCGTTTTCGTTATGCATGCATCTTATACGCGTTCAAATAAAGATAGGAAATTGGTCTCCTCCGTACTAAAAGCCATTCTCAAGATAGTGCTACACACTTTTCGTCCCTATAAACCCAAACCTTGTTACCAGTTCCATTTACAGTTCTCCGGCGATGAGATAAGGTCTCGTAACATTAGAATGTACGGATATCGGCGAATGTAAGAGTGATGTACGTACAATCTTTTCTCTTAACGATATAGCGAAGTCAAAAGCCCGGTACTTCGAGCGATGTGTCAAGACGTTTGCTAACATGATATCAGTGGTTGTTTTTAGTGAAACATACATAAAGGAAAATATTCTGCTAAGGTACATTAATGCATACATATATATATATATATATATATATATATATATATATACATATATATATATTATGTATCTTTCTTTGAACTTTATATTATGTATCTTTCTTCCTATCTTTATTTGAACGCGTATAAGATGCATGCATAACGAAAACGCTACACACATATAGAAACACAGTCACAATCAGGCGTACCGTAGCTACGCCTGATATATATATATATATATATATATATATATATATATATATATATATACGTATATATGTACGTCTGTGCGTGGGCGTGCGTGCGCGCGCGCGCGCGCGTGCGTGCGTGCGTGCGTGCGTGCGTGCGTGCGTGCGTGCGTGCGTGTGTGTGTGTGCATGTGTGTGTGTGTGTGTGTGTGTGTGTGTGTGTGTGTGTGTGTGTGTGTGTGTGTGTGTGTGTGTGTGTGCATGTGTGCGTGGGGAGATGCTTAGGCAGAAACATAACCATAACAAGTTATGTGACTAGTCGACTACGCTTCGATCCGAAGTCCCACTCAAAAGTATTAAAACTGTCGTCGAGTCTTCTTTTGTCAATTTCAATAGACTTGGTAGATCCGGTGGTCGCCTTCAGGGGAGAGCCGAGGCAAGACCGTGCTTGCCATCTGGCTGCGGATTGCATTCTGCGGCTTGCGAGTCGTGTGGCATCTCGACAATTGTGTTCTGGAGATGACCGTATTGCGAAACAACGCTTCTGTACTACTTCAGACGATAATTGCTTTCCGAAGAATTTTGCGGCAACATCCCTTCCGTGCCATCAACCCAGTCACAAAATACAGACTCTTCCAAGGTCGCGCAAAGGTGACGACGTTCCGACAGGATGAGATTCACGTAACCAAGCTGCACTGTTGCAGAGGGCCGGTTCATGGCGTGCGAGTCGTCCCACCCGGACGCCTTCGCCTGCTCTGTGGCCGACATCCCCTTCCACGCGGTACGTACCGAGTCCCGGCCCGAGCACCGCCTGCCCTCCGGCGGGGGCACCCACTTCTGCAGGACGATACACCGGCGGCCAGACGTCTGTCAGCGGTCCCAGCCGCCGCAGCTTGCTAGTCGGATTTGTTTTGTGCTGTTACTAGATGCTTTGTGAATATGGCGTGGCGTAAAGTAGTATGGTAATTGCTGATGCGAGTTAGCTGGCGGTGTTATTCGCCAGGCCACGTGCTGAGCGTGGCGACGCCGCAAAGACAGCGAACGTCTGCCGTTTGGTAGACAGGATGCAGTTGGCGGCATAGCGTATCTAAGATAAGTGAAAAAGAACATGGGAAAGCTTGTGCGTTTTCAAGATCACTGGGGGCTGCAAACGTCTTGACTTCTCTGAGAATACGCGAATATGTGGCGAGGAATTTTGCAAACTCACCAGCCTTGTGGTGTGCAAGCCGAATAAAAAGTTGCGAAAATCTGTAAGCTTGGAAAACTACTGGCATAATGGTGGGGTGGATTATAGCGAGATTGTATTGTGACCTAGCGTGCTATTGCAATCGCTCATGGGCCGTTTTGTTTCTGTGATCAGACCGTATATCACTACCCGGCACCGAATGAGAAGATCGCGTTTGGCGTAATCACAGGGTGCCTGCTTGACACGTGTATGTACCTGCGGGGTACGTACTGTATGTACGCGTATGTACCCCGAACCTGCGGGCCCTGCAGTGACGGAATCCGAACACATGATCCTGGAGTCGGCTTTCTATCCGCGCGCATGGCTGGTTCGCGCCCAGGCGGGACGCGGCTCAGACTCGCACGGATCCCAGCGCGAGCTCAGCGAAGGTGACTCGAATGCGTACACTCGGCGCCCCAGCAGTAAACCTGAGGACTCTCATGACACGGCGTGCACCCCACATATGATGACGGCGGTGGAGCGTGCCCATCTCGTAGGTCATGGTGTGTCACTTCGTCATGACAAGATGTGTGGTAACTGCTTTCTGCATTGGTGTTAGTTGTTACCTACTCGAGTCATCTGCCCGAGTGCCGCCTATCGCGAACGAGCTTTGACAGTCTAGATTGCATTATACCACATTTCAGCCTGCATTGACGAGTGCTTCAACGTGGACTAATGGCAACGATCGCCGTGGTGTTGTGGTTGTGTTTCACGCTCTGTGGATTGTGCGTTCCCCGCCCTAGTCCTCCACCCGACTCGGCCCGCCCCGCCGAGCCGGCACCACAGAAATGGAGATAAGCTGCCAGCGACATCAAACAAACCATTAGGTGTCGGATTAAGCTGGCAGGAGGGCATCTCACATGTGGGACCGCACCCAAATGGAAGACACGTGAGCCATGACCCCCGGGGCCGTGCGCGTCTCCGCTTGGGGTGAGAGCGGGGCTGGTCAGGGCCCTAGCGGTCATGTGGACGCTCCTAGCTGGTCCCGCTGTGATGACGGGCCCTGGAGTAACGGTCACACATGGCGGTGGTCACACACGACTCCGGTACCCCCTAGGCGCCCGCGGTTTGCAGTTCGGCGACGTGACTTAGCGCCAGAATGTGCACCGTCGTGACAGCTGGCTACCGTGTCGTAAAGGTAGCTGGCATCAGCACCCGCCTTGTGGTTCATACCAGGCTCCGTGTGGCCCCCCACGAACGCCGGTGACGACACTCATCGACGATCGTGGTCCGACTGAAACAGTTCTAACATCGCGAGACGAATACGACACACGCCTAATGATTTGTTGCCGTCGCAGTACGACACGAAGTCAAATAAGGGCATTTTTGAGCCGGGGAGCGGACACAGCTCCTCAGATTGTTGTCACTAAGTGCGCGTTTAAGGTCCCCACTCCTCAGCTTCTGAGCTCCCCGCTCGTTTAAGGTCCCCATGGTATCCCTCGGCTCTCGCGCCATGCATTTTGTCGACGCTCCACCACTGTTTCCGGTGTTGTAAGTAAACAGTAAGTGCGTACAAGGTCCATGTGAAGTTCAGATACCAAGCTGGGGCCTAGCTGATGTTCTGGATCTTTGTCTGAAATGGAGCGTTGGCACAACACGGTAGCTGCTGCTGTTTTTTTGGATGGGCCAAGAACCAATTGCAGGATATGCAAAGCCTTCAGACTTTCATTACGCTCAGTAACCGTCATTTAGAGACCCGTGGTCGGGCCGTTCGGTACATAATCCTTCCCAGTGAAAGATAGATAAACTGGGAATGCTTTGACTCAGTCTGCTTTTTTTATTAAGATGCTTCGACGCAGTTTGCTTTGTTTAAATCTTTGCCGTATATCCAACAACGTCGGAGTCTCGAAAGTATTCATATGCCTGTAAAGTGTCAAAAGTTCACATAGGGCCACCGCACTTTCAGAGCGCGTAAAATCTCGTCAGTGATTGATGAATTACACCTATAAAGCATGCGGCAGCAAGATAAAACATGGCCGCGGGCTTAAGCTCACTGGTTTTGATTTGACTGGCAAGGGTAACACTGAAAGTGAAAGCGCAATGCCGAGAGCGCGCACTTCGCGAGCCGTGGTCCGGTCATGCAACGTCCTGCCGTGGCAGCCAGCTCGGCGGCGGCTCAGAGGCGGCGGTCACCCCGGCCACAGAACCCGGGCGTGGCCGCCCCGGGCCGCGGCTCGCTCAGGTCGACGGCGCGCCGCTGGGGGTGACTGGTTCACCGCCGCGCAGGCCGTGCGCGACCACCTTCGCCAGGCCGTGCCCAAGCACCCAGCTCGCGCGGGCGAGTGGCGGTGGCTGTATACCTTTGCCGTTGATTGGCTCACGTGTTTCAGGATTCGGTGCGTTCAGTTGCATACCATTGTGACGTGTGTTGTCGGTTTTCTGGACACTGCTGGGAGCTAATGATGTCCGACTCGCGGTGGTTCTAGTTTTGGTACCAATTTTGTATGAGGTCTCTCTGTCATGACAGGTTTTAGCTTTGATATTGTTTTCTTTCGGCATGGCTCTCGCGTAACAGCGTATAGCTATGTTCAAACGTTATAATACGATGTCTGTCCGATAACACCTTCCGGTTTTGCCAGGCAATATATCCCACGGCGTCATTACGCGGCACCAGTGAAGCTGTGCCCCGATAATCGGAAGGTTTAAATTGAGGCAAAGCATTTTGGTCCATGTGGTTTGCATTGGAGCCGTTTCGGCCATTGATTGTCATTCCAGGGCTATGGCATTAAAAAGTCCGGCGAGCGGCGCGGCAGTGCCGTGTCAGCCGTCGGAGGCCTCCACTAGGGATCCGTCTCTCACACGGACCCGTCTGAGATTTGTGCAGGCTCTCCGGCGAGGAGGCCACCAGAGCGGCAGTGATGTCGGCTTGTGACTGACGGCCGCAGCCTGACGCGGCGTGACGGGATGTCGCGGGGATTTAGGATGAAGCGATGAAAGAGGAAAGCACAGCGGCTGCTTTTGCCTCCGATCCTGTTGAAAAGAGTGTTTATATGCGTACATACCCGCTAGGTTCTGTGCCACTTCACATTCCCCTATTCCTGTACTGTTTTGAGTGTGTCGCGTACTCCAGGTCAGGTGGGTTCCTCATTCACAGCCCCAGTGTCGCATGCGCTGACAGTTGCCTAATGTAACTCCTGGCAGCTTCAGGCACAGCCGGTTTCAGAACTATGAATTGCGTCACCGTCTACGCGAAAAGTGGTATGAGAACCACCATACCAGAACCCGGGACATCTTCAGAAGACGAGCCTCAGATTTGTGCCCATGCAGAGTTTGCTCGGTGGGCGAGACCCGCTTGTTGACGCGTCTTGCTATTGCGACACGTCACCTGATCGTGAGTTGCTAACACATGGAGTGACTGGTCGGGGACGGACGCAGCTCGCGTCCGCGTACGAATGTGACACCAACAGAGTGTCATGTCCTTTGTGTCACGCGTCAGCCCACCGTCCATAAGAAGCGGCTGCGGACCTCGCTCCACCCTGGTGCTACCTCAGGCGCTCGATATGGCACGCATTGTCACGATGTGGCGCCAAACAGGTGGCACTGAGCGGCGTGTAGCGCTGCACTGCCGTATGTGCTGTGCTGTGCAGTGTGCTGGTGTGGTGTGTGGTGGTGGGCGGCCTCGCATAATTTCACAACATAAGACATTCAGCGGATGCGCTGTTTATGTTAACGCATGCCAGTTCTTGCAGAGCTGAATTGCAATGATAGGAAAATGGTCGGAAATTGCCCATAGTCATGTTGCTGTTCCTATGGTTGCCACAGCGATCGTTTAAGCCAGCCAAATGGATTCAGAAGTTCCTGCTGTCCCAGAACCCGTCAAAACGGGGTCGGTGGCGACGCGACAGTAATCTGATGTCGATTTAGCCAGATTAGGAGGAGCAGACACAACTAGTAGTTGCGTTAAGTTAGCAAATGTCACAATAAAGTAGCATGCCGTGACTTATGCGTCCGTGGGTCAGACCTTTGAGGACGTACTTTGGCGCGTCGTCGAAAACTGAGGTCATTGCACACTGGTTCGGCTGAATAATTCACTGGGTCGCTGACGGAATCACACCGCCATATGACACCACCGATTCAGCCTCTTATGACGCGACGAGGCCACACCTAATGTCCCCAGCTTTTTTAACGCCACTTCCTGAAAGGCAGTAAGCTGTTTGCTAATTTTCCCTCGCCTCCGGACGCCCGGCTAGTCTGAAGCCATCGCCGGAAAGCGGCGGCACTTTACTCAGAGGTCCGGCTGGGTTACATGCGTGGGGCGGATGCCAGTGAACTTCAGCGCCCACTTCAGCCAATACCATTAGCTAGTTGCCCCATCGTGTGAGACATGCGTAGTGTTACACGGTTGTGGATCCCGCGCATGACTAATGCACATTAGCATGTTGGACCAACAGCGTTATGCCCGCAATGCATACCAATCCTGGCGTGATTTGAACGCCTGTGCGTACACATGTGCTCAGTCTTCGCGTACACATGCGCTCAGTCTGCGCATACACATGCATTCAGCCTGTGCGTACGCATGCACTTAACCTGTGCGTACATGTGCGCTCAGTCTGCGCGTACACATGCGCTCAGTCTGCTTGTACACGTGCACTCAGCCTGTGCGTACACATACACTCAGCCTTTGCGTACACATGCACTTAGCCTGCGCGTACACGTGCGCTCAGCGCATGCTTCATACGCGACCGTTGGCGGATCGCTTGCTGGACTGATGCCCGTCTTGCCGAACGAGTACTCGGCGTCCGTCACAAATGACGGCAGATGACAGGCGTGCACTGGAACTAAATCTCACCGGGGGGGGGGGGGGGGGGGCGCATTCCGTAGGTGCGTAGCGGCGGGGAGAATTGGGCGTTGACGCACCGCATCCAGCCAGATTGAACGTGACGTGAGTGAGCGAGTTGGTGCCAACGCCTGCATTTGTGGAGTCATGGCCCAAGGGATGGAGCCTGCTTTCAGACCTCAGAAACGTTAAAGCCTTCGTGCATCCTCGTATCAATGCACGATAAAAAACACGGTCATCGTGCCGCAGACGGCGGGAGGATTTCAGGGACAAGGAGTCGGAGTTCAGCAAACTATCAGCCAGTGTGCCCGGCCATCACTGCACGGCAGCGCTCGCCCCCCCCCCCCCCCTTCCCTTTCCCAGCGGAGCCCAAGACCGTGCGCAGACGGTGCTGCCGCGTCGGCGCCGACACCTCTGGGAACGCGTCCCGCTTCATTATGCATTCGCTCTGTGCCGGGCATGATCCGTGTAAGTTATCGTATCCCAGCCGCGGCTGCCGCTGTGCGCAGAGCCATGCCATCGCAGCCAGTGTATCGATTTGCGCGAGGATTTGCCGGAGCACCACGAGACTGTGTATGCTGCGCTGCATCCTATAGCTGTCGAGAGTCATCGTGGGAAGGTGCTGTGACATGATGCGGAGCCCATTTGTTCGGTTCGTGAAGCAAGTGGGGTGCTCAGGTGAGCTTGTGAAGACCTGAGAGCGAAGCTTTGGTCCGTTGGCATGCTGTCCGTGACGTAAGAGTCACGCATTTTGAGCTTCGCGTTTCCGGTGCAGTTGTTGAGTAACGCGACCGGGAAGGTTGTAAATCTGCTCCGCGCGCCACCCGCTACTCGTCGCGATTGGCCGCTCGGGCGGAGATTGCTGGAGATTGCGGGCTCGCGTCTCCCGCGATCAGAGTCGCGCTTTGCTCTGAAGCTTGGATCTCAACTCTCAACTAAACTCAACTCAGTTGAACTCACTGTACGTCGGGGTATCACAGTTCAAAAAAATGGCCCTGCGTTCCGGTTATGGGCGTGACCCTCACGCCTTGAGTCGTAGTCGGCTACCCAGAGTGCCGAGACCACTCCCGTATGTCGAGTCCTGAGATCAAGGACTGAAGTCCAAGTCCAGCCCGAATCCATTCAGTTCCGTGCGTTCGGTTTCGCGTCTGAGCCCGAGCCCAGGAAGATTTGGCAGAGTTCAAGTCTCAGGGCTGTCTGCTTGATTTCTCACTTCTTTACATGGTCGGAGGGGGTCAGTAAGTTAGCTGACTTTCCCGACGTCTTGCTGTGGCTAGGGCTAGAGCTGGGGGGCCTAAGGCCTTTAACAAGTCAAAGTGCCTGGTACCAGCAAGACACAATCTGACGCAGAGTAGTTCAACCCAACCAAAATAATGCGACATGTCATTGCCTCACATCTCATCAAACTCAGCTCAGTTCGTAACATGGTGCATAACTTAGAAAATCATATGAAACGCTTCCACCTCGCCGAACTGTGCGTTCTGTGACTGAAGGTCTGGAGCTTTCAACATGATGTGTAGATCGTCATTGCATTGTGGGCTCGGAATTCTTGCATCCGGGTCTTGCATAAATGAAGGTTTGAATGAGTCCGCAGCCGAACGAATCCACTGGCGTGCTTTCTTTTTAGCGTTGCCGGTCGGCGTCCTACCGACGTTAATTTGACAACAGACCTCGCAGGGTCCCCTGCTGTCTCGAAAACTACGCTTGGGCCAAGCGGAAGGCGGCGTCGAATAGCTTGCTTACACTTGCAGCAGGTCGACGCGTTTCGTAGAAGTATAGGTGAGCTTTTTCGGTTGTCAGGTCAGTGGCGTGAAATAAATAAAAGTAAGCCACTTTCCAAGCTCTAGAACCGGGCGACTTGTGACAGCGGGGGAGGGTATCACTGTTAAACTTGTGGTACGCTCTGACCTAAGACATGATACGCTGGGCCATAGGAGTTAATGACTTTCGTGCATTGCTTCATCCCACGCCGTAGCCTATTTTGAACCCAGCCAATTCAACAGAATGACAGATTATCGGATTACACCATCACGTGGTGTGTGGGTTTTTTATAACGCGTAATCCACGCAAATGTATGTTGGCGGCATCTGGACGCCCAGCGCAGCGGACGGCTGGACAGAGATGTCAGCAGTGATCGCCTGGAGAAGGGGGCACCGGTGGCTTCACGAATGTCAGTGTTAAGACCTCGACTACTAGCCTTTTCAGCTCTTCTACGTATAGCGTTCTTTGAGGTTATTCCTGTAAGACCTCGGGTGGGGGAGAGGTGGAGGTCCGATTCCCACGTCCGCCTACGGTTAATCAATGCCGGGTCCGTGTCCGTCAGTGTCAAGCGTGGGTCCGAGTCCGATTCATTTATGAACCAGGTCGATTCATTCCATTTCAGATCCCAAAATGAAATTAGCCCGAACTCGATTCCAAGTCTGGCTATGTTCAAACCACGCCTACATTCTTGTCGGGTCTTGTCCGGAGGAAGTGTTATCATTTATCCGAAAATTGCAGCAACTGGTTGGTGGACATTGGGGACTCGCAATGGTTTAGCTCTGTGTAGCGTACGCTGGCGCAGTGCACATGACAAAAAAGTGTGTCTATGCCCCTGTCCAGGGGACAGGTACGGCGCGGTCGGACGCCGGTATTTCTGCCGGTGTCCGCGCCTGGGAAGGCGCCTGACGCTCGCGCCTGACGCTCCCACCGCCGCGTCTGTTGCAGGTGGTGGCGCGCGACCTGCGGCTGTCCGACTTCCAGGAGGCGCTGCGCTCCACGGGCCCGTCTGTCAGCGCCGACATGCTGCGCCGCTACCACGATTTCCGCCTGGGCCGCGGCTCGGCCTGCTAGGCGGCGCCGGGCGTCAGCCGCTGGTGGTGCAGGGCCAGGCCGCCGGGAGGGCGGCTGGCAGGGCCGGCCTAGCCTGGCCTGGTTGCGTGGGCCGGTGACTGCTGACCGAGGGCGGCTCGCGGGGAGGAGACGCTCAGAAGCGCCGGACAATGGTCTTCCGCGCTGCGTTGCGTTCGTTGGAGTGCAGATTCACCTGAAGTGGGTGATGGTCGTTTTTCGTTGAGTTTGTGGGAGCGCGCACCAGTGTTGTCTTGGGGCGGTCAATTACGCCGTGCAGTGGTGTATAGTATACCAACCAGGTTAAGCAATTTATCCGTCCCCCAATCAAGGTACAGAAAGCTGTGCTTTATGGGCGTCTCACACTTTCGTGATTAGTGTATGCACAATTGTGGCTTACGCTCGGTTCGCCGGAATACCAGCGTACGTTGGTTGAGTCCCTGAAGACGGCTCAGCGGCTGAAGTCACTGCGGTCTCGGTAAAATTGGTTCAGAACAGAACGGGATCCTCCAGACTAACCGTGCCGCAACCCTTTGCCGTTACATTTAGTTTTAGGCGTTACCTCGCTTTCAGTCGGTCCATTCTGCAAGCGAGCCAGGTGAAGCACTAGGTCCCGATGCATTTCGTTGGTTACGGGGACCCAAAAAGAGGACTCTAAATCTTATCACTAAAACGGACGTTAACGTAATGGTGGGGTATCTTGCGTCCGTAAAGGAAACGTTAATGTCTGCTTCGCGGTTGGTCTTCGAACTTTTTGCCCGTCGCTGATGGAGACGGCAGTTAACGTTCGACTATGAAGCGCGTCGTTCTGCAAGAAGCGAAGCCACCTCGCTAATGAACATCCTCTTCGTTCTCGGTAGAGGCACGGCAGAGCCGCTTTTTCCGTTTCCTGGTAGCCTTTGTCGACACATTTTCTACGACAGCTGGTGCTGTCCCTTTCGTAGTTCACGCTGTATAACAGGCTGCCGCGTTCAGTTATGCGGAACAGTAAATTCGAAATACCTCACGACTGCTGCCACCTCCAATAAATGTATCTCCAGAAGGCCGCGGACCCGCTGTCAGATGCGCACAGCACAGGGCCCCACCGGTACATGGCGGTCTTCCTATGAGGAGCGCTCGACACCGCCGACAGTCAGATGAGGGACATTCTACACCGGCGGCAGTCAGATGAGGGACATTGCACGTCGCCAACGGTCAGATGAAGGTCATTCTACACCGGCGGCAGTCAGATGAGCATTCCATACCGTCGACAGTCAGGTGAGGGGCATTGTACACTGTCGATAGTCAGATGAGCATTCTACACCGCCGACAGTCGGATGAGGATCGTCCTACACCGCCGACAGTCAGATGAGGAGCATTCTACGCCGCCGACAGTCAGATGAGGAGCATCCTACACCGCCGACGGTCAGATGAGTGACATTTGACATCGCTGGCAGTCAAATGAAGGGCATCTGACACCGCCGGTAGTTAGATGAGGGGCATTCTACACCGCCGACGGTAGGATGGGGGACATTCTACACCACCGACAGTTAAAGAGGGTCATCCTACGCCACCGACAGTCAGATGGGGAGTGTTCAACACCGCTAGCCGTCAGATGAGGGGCATTCTACACCGCCAGCAGCCAGATGAGGGGCGTTCTATACGGCCGACAGTCAGATGGGAGGGCATTATACACCGCCGACAATCACATGAGCATTCGACGCCGGCAGTCTGATGAGGGGTATCCTACACCGCCCACAAATGGGAGGTATCCTACACCACCGGCAGCCAGATGAGCATTCAACACCACCGGCCGCCGGATGAGAAGCGTCTGACGCCGCCGGATGAGGTGCCTCTGACGCGCCGGATGAGGAGCCTCTGACACGGCCGGATGGGGAGCCTCTGACACGGCCGGATGAGGAGCCTCTGACACCGCCAATTGAGGAGCTTCTGACACCACCGGAGGAGGAGCCTCTGACACCGTCGGATGAGGAGCCTCTGACACCGCCCGATGAGGTGCTTCTGACACGCCGGATGGGGAGCCTCTGACACCGCCGGATGGGGAGCCTCTGACACCGCCGAATGAGAAGCTTCTGACACCACCGGATGAGGAGCCTCTGACACCGCCGAATGAGGAACCTCTGACACCGCCGGCCGTCGAACCGGGGAGGAGTGCACAGCACCGCCGCCAGTCAGGCTGGGCGGTCTGCTGGGAACAGCCTGCCGTTGGGCTGAGGCCGCGTGTGCTGTGGCCGGCAGTCCCGGGCAGCGTGATTACTGCACAGCTCACGCGGCGCTTCAGCTGCACGGCCGCTACCGACGCATTCGTCTTGCGTTCGGTTAGACCACTGGTTCGTTTGTCTTTTCCAGCGCACCAACTATTGATTTACGGCACTGCTGCTGGGCCGTGCTATTGAGTGCTGCATTCCACGCTATGTTCTGTGATGGATGTGGGATGCCCCGAAGTGATGCAGTAAAACGGAGAACGACGATGACACCAGCGGGGACTAGTCATTCCCTGCCGTGTGCTGGCGGCTCTGGATGTCGCGCGTCCAAAGCCGCCGTCCACGGCACCGTCGGCGGCGTCCGCCCTGATCGCGTCCGCATTCCACCGGCCGTGCACACCGCTGTGGTGGGGGGGGGGGGGGGGGGGGGACGGCGAGGCGCCCAGACACGGCGGATGAGCCGACGCTTCCCCGAGTGGACTGCACCACGCGGAGCGGACCCGGCCGCGTTACACCGCCGCCGTCCCGATACCACGCAGCGCCAATACGCAGTCGCCTGCTCTACGGAGGGCTCGCACGTTTGTCGGCACAGCTGACGCGAGCGTTCGGTGTCGGCTGCCGCCCGTGCGGTGGCGCCCGCCGCCGGGCCGGGACGTGGACGAGCCGCTGGTGCCGCCGGGCCGAGGGCGGCGGCTGGGGCGCCTGCGAACTGCTGGTACCGCCAGGCTGAGGGCGGCGGGCTGGGGCGCCCGCGAGCCGCTGGTATCGCCAGGCTGAGGGCGGCGGGCTGGGGCGCCTGCGAGCCGCTGGTACCACCAGGCTGTGGGCGGCGGGCTGGGGCGCCTGCGAGCCGCTGGTACCACCAGGCTGTGGGCGGCGGGCTGGGGCGTCTGTGAGCCGCTGGTATCACCAGGCTGAGGGCGGCGGGCTGGGGCGTCTGCGAGCCGCTGGTATCGCCAGGCTGAGGGCGGCGGGCTGGGGCGTCTACGAGCCGCTGGTATCGCCAGGCTGAGGGCGGCGGGCTGAGGCGCCCGCGAGCCGCTGGTACCGCCAGGCCCAGTGCGGCGTGTTCGAGCGCCGACTCCGTCTTCGCCGGTCTCCGCGGCTCCTTCATTAGCAATATTGAGCGGTCGCCCCCAGAATGACGGTCGCGGCTCGGGCAATTGTCATGAGCATTCTGGAGCGTCGCTGCCTCTCTGGCGTCCATTCCAATTAGGGGCTCACTTTCCTAATGAAAGTTGGTTAACAGGCGGTAACTTCGTCACGTAAATTTATTAGAAAACTAAAACAAGTGTTAATTACAAGAACATGTTATCACATAAGCAGCTATCCTGGCCGCAGGAGTCCGCTCAAGTGGTAGGGTGCCAAGCGGTCGGCGCGGAGATTGTGACTTATTGCCCAGACATGCGCCTGAGGCAATCGCGTATGAAGCAGCAGTTTCGATGAGCGCAAATCTAGGTAGCTCCACGACAGCGAATACCACCACACGACTCGAATCGGACACGACACCGCACTCGCTTGACCACACACACACAAGCGTAAAGCGAGAAGGTGGCGCTTAACAGTCGCCGTGCGAACGAGACACCTTCAGCCGCACACGGTGCAGAGGGAGCGACGACAGCGAATGTAGCAGTCACACAAACATTTCGTGAAGCCCTCCCGTCACGACCTTAAACCGAGCGAAAGGAATGGACGCCGATGAAATCAAGCCTGAATGGTCTGCGCGGGTCGTTGCGGGTGTTTAGATCCGCGGAATGACTTGATACGTCGCCAGCGCGGCGACACGGTACAGTGTGGCCTAGCCTCACGCGTGCAGAACCGAACACAGGGCGTCCGGGGCTCCTCAGAAAAACAAACACCGTGCGATGCTACTCAAACTTATCTTAGTGTTGGACCCGGTGCAGTGTGAGGGCGATAAGTTAACTCCTACAGTTCGTTGAGTTGCGGCCCCAAGACTAAGGGTCGTAACATTCGTGCTGCAGCTAACGCTAGGTGAAACGTTCCGTCAACAATAATTGGTGCAGCCTCGCAGTGACTACAGTGACGTACGTCACTGTAGTCACTGCGACGTGTACGTACGTGTACGTAGTGTACGTCACTGCCAGTTAGTACGCCACTCTCATCACGCCACGTGAGTCAGATCGAGACTTAAAGATTGGTTTCACGAAACCCCCAGCAACCTCTATCAGGTCACCGGCCACCCGTGGTTACCTCCACAAGGCCTCGGATTATAGTTTTGAGCGAGCCATGCCGAGATAGTCTCAGACTACACAAAACCGCTGTGCGCGCTATATTACAGCCAATAGTCGATGGAAGATAGATGAATTTCTCCCGTTCCCAATGCAATGCAGCATCACCTGGTGACACCAACGTTGACATTTGACGACGTTAACGCTCCCAATAAGAACACAAACGCAAACGGATAAATTATTGCCTTTTCTTGCCACTGAGTTTCCGGCGGGCAGCTATAAAGCTTCGCTTCCCCTCGCCCAACGGAGACGTAACGAAGCCAAGCGACATGGACGGCGAAAGTCCTGCAACAAACCGCTGCACAAACTCCCAATAATCTCGGCATCAGATCTGGTTCATATCCAGAGTGCTCAACCTGTTCCAACCAACACCTCCCTCCATCCCCCACCGGGGCGCGCCACTCGACACGGCCGAGACTTCTCCGAGCCCGGCGCACGTCGCCACCGCTCGCACCCTTAAGTACAGACAACGGGTTAGTGGAATGACGCCCGCCCGCGCACAGCGCTGAAAGGAAGCGAGGACTAGTTCTCCATGGGAGGAAAGCAGACAAGTGACCCCCATCCGCCGTTCTCGGGGGGAAAGGGGGGAGGGGATCGCGGCGACGACGGCAGCGTCTCCTCCATCGACGCCGACGACAGCGCGGTCGTAGGTACGTGAGCAGGCAGCGGCCTGGGCTGCGAGAAGCGGGGCCGGAGGGCACGACAGGACCGCGAGCAAGCGGCAAGCTGACTGGGCGGGCGCTCGGCGGCGGCGCGGCCTCGGCGGAGCAGCGGCGGCCGCTCGCCGACGCCGCAGCGCCGCGCTGTTCTGGGGCGGGCCGAGGCGAGCCGGCTCAGCCGGCTCAGTCCTCCAGCTCCTGGATCCGGCAGCGGACGGCCGTGTCCACCACCTCCAGGCCGTGCAGGTCCAGCTCTTTGACCAGACACAGCACGGCCGACAGCACGTTCGGACTCTGCAACAGCGGCGCCGTCGTCAGGAGCGGCCCGCCGCACGGCGGGACAGCGGGTCCGTCGCACGGCGGGGCGGGCCGGGCGCCTGGCACCCCACACTCTCAAGCGGCACCCGCCACACAGACAACGGCGTCACACACTATGAGATGGCGCAACACGGCACCGCCGCGACGCGCGACGTAACAATAACGTGATAAAGGTAAAAATTAACAGAAAAATCGGCCGAAACTAATCACCATCGCTCGCTAGCCAACTGTGAGCGACGCGACACAAATACCTCCCACTAAGCGGCGCGTCAGTATGCGTTGAAAACTGCGATTTGTGATGTCAAACAGAGGCTGAAACGGCGGCTTAAGCGCTGATGTGTACGACAGCTTTACCACGACTGCCTTCATAGCGATGTTCCACGACGCCGTAGCGACACTGAACTACGTCGCCGTCTCACAAGAAGTCTGAAGTGCCCTGAATGCCTACGTGGCTTAAATACGAGATCCTAAATACCGCCGAGAAACTTTCACGGATCACTGCTGTATATTCTGAATATCTGACGAGCTTGATGTGTGGTGCTCCATTACGTACTGCAGCTTTGTCGCAAGCGTCAACATCGACGGACCTCAAGCATGCTTACGCAATCGGTTTAGTCTTTACATCAACCATCCATCGTCATCCACCTTCCTAAATGCAGGTGTCATCAATATGCGATGCCGCACGCGACCATCCGTGGGTATTTGGTAAGCCCACGAACTTCTTCGGCCCTGATACTGGATTTTTCGGGCGCGTCGACTGCAAATGGTCACGCAGCACCCCGATGACTTTCTGTAGCGTTGAAAGTTAACACCTCATTCATCTCACAACGAAAAACACCGTCCGTTCTAGGTGCGTTTTCCTTCAACGTTTCAATGACAAAATGAAGAGCTGCAACAGACATGTCGCGAGTCTGTTTGACTTGCTGGGACGTTTCGTCGCAGAGCTCGCCTCCACAGTGGTGGAGTGTGGTGGGTGGCGGCAGGACTAGGATCCACGCCGAGCGAGGCTCGCCGCGCGGCCACTGACCCCGCCACCCACGTGGTTCGAACGGCGATGCGACTCCAGATTGCAGTCCAGACGGCTCTTGGCACTCTCGGCGTTGTGTCAAAGGTCATGACGACACGGTCCGGCGGCGAATTCTTCGCCTGGTCCAGAAAATGCGACGCCTTGGGTGGGAATGAAACCCGCCTGGCGATGGGCCAAGCATCCGCGGCGTCTGCCTCTCGGAACACGCTGATGCCGGCGTCCTAACTGTTTTACCAACGGGAGGACACATTTTACCATCGGCATGGCAAGGATGACCTTTGCGAAGCTTTACACATATTTTAGCCTTTGGCAAGGAATTTACAGGCCAAAAACTAGGGTTTCGTAGAGGACTTCACATCGGGCACGCTGACTCGCCTTCCTCTGACGGGATGGTGCACCTATTCCCCGTATCTCCGGCAGTACGGCGCGCGGAACTTGCAAGTAACCCCGGCCTGACTTTACTGTGCGTTGGCGTCTGTCACCAGCAAGGCGAGCGTCCCTCGTACTTGTCCCGCCTTTCACACTCCAAAGTTGTCGAGTGAGCGTTATCATCAGAACCCACGCGAGCGCCACGTTAATTATGGCACGATAGGGACAGAGGATTACCACCTTCCCAACCCAAATACGGACAGAGGGGCCGGTAAGTCCCCCAAACGGGGACGGAGGTGGCGCCCGCCCAGCGGTCCCCGTGGCCCCAACAGCCAGCGGGGCCGGCGCGTGCCTCACCCAGAGTGGGAGGTGGCGCCCGCCCAGCGGTCCCCGTGGCCTCAACAGCCAGCGGGGCCGGCGCGTGCCTCACCCAGAGTGGGAGGTGGCGCCCGCCCAGCGGTCCCCGTGGCCTCAACAGCCAGCGGGGCCGGCGCGTGCCTCACCCAGAGTGGGAGGTGGCGCCCGCCCAGCGGTCCCCGTGGCCTCAACAGCCAGCGGGGCCGGCGCGCGCCTCACCCAGAGTGGGAGGTGGCGCCCGCCCAGCGGTCCCCGTGGCCTCAACAGCCAGCGGGGCCGGCGCGTGCCTCACCCAGAGTGGGAGGTGGCGCCCGCCCAGCGGTCCCCGTGGCCTCAACAGCCAGCGGGGCCGGCGCGTGCCTCACCCAGAGTGGGAGGTGGCGCCCGCCCAGCGGTCCCCGTGGCCTCAACAGCCAGCGGGGCCGGCGCGCGCCTCACCCAGAGTGGGAGGTGGCGCCCGCCCAGCGGTCCCCGCGGCCTCAACAGCCAGCGGAGGCGGTGCGTGCCGCACCCGGGGTGGGAAGTGGTGCCAATACAGCGGTCCCTGTGACCCCTCTCTGGGCTCCGGACGCACGCCCACACTGCGCTGGCACAAGCGTCACTGGCACTGGCTGCAGTCCATCCTGCAATTGGAGACGGCAGCCACCACGTAGTTGGTGGAGGGTGCTTGTTCGCCCCGTCTGCCCTCATGCAGGTGCTGTATCAAACAGCAAGAAACTACAGCACATGGGGAAATGACATTGGGAAATATTTCAAACACCACAAATGTCGTCCATACCAGCAGCCGGTTAAGCATAATAAGCGACCTTCTAAAAAGAATTTAACTTCTGCCAACGGGGTGCAGGTCGTAGCCTGCTCTCCACTTTGCGAACGTGCAGATGACCCAGCCAAAGGCCAAGTCGGCGTTCCAATCTCAGAGAAACGCTACATTCAATTCCCTGGCACAAAGCCGCCGTTGCCTACGCACGACCTAAGGAGCAGGTAAAAATCATGATGATCACGAACATAATAATCAAGATCTGAGATCTAAGTCTCAGCAGCATGCGGGTGGTAGCAACTTTTCCGGTGTTTGCTAGCTTTCCTTAAACGGTTTCCCCGCATCTCATCTGCAGTATTTTCACCCAGCCACCTGTATTCCGTTGTTAACGGCAGCCCAAAGGCCGCGTGGGTTCGCCAACTTATAATGACAACGGCGAATCGACGGGAGACCGGGCTGTCCCGCGGCGCGGTGATGAGCCCGGCGGTCTCTCGGCTCGGTCCGGGGGGAGGGGGGGGGGGCACGCGCTTCAGACGTGCCGCCGTGGGGGCGCCACTTCCACCGTGGGCCGTTGCAGTCACCCGACCCCAAGTCAGGGCACAGTCGGCACGGGTGGCCCACGTCGTGTCGCAGCTTTCCTACCACATAACGCCTCATGACGAGCCGACTCAGCTCCTGTTGCAAAATCACTTCAAATCTGAAGCGTTTAGAAAAGGGATAAACAGATAATACACAAAATGTGTTCGCGCGAGAAAGTTTCATAAACAAGATGTGGCACCTGACTTCAGTACCAATCTAACACCCTAGCAACCCGACATAAAAAGCTTGGCTACAATCGTCGTCAGTCTACAGCATGCGGCTAACCCCGCGACCCTCGCGCTCCGCCAGCGGCATGGTCCACCGCTGGTGGCGCCACCTGTACGCACCTTGCGCTTGGGGCGGACCTCGTACTGCCGCAGCGAGCTGTGCTCGCTGTAGGCCTCGGCGCGGCTGACCGGCGCCGCCTCCGAGCCTCGGTACCCGTCGCCGTCCGAGGCGGTCGTGCCCGCGTACCTGAATGACAACAGCACGGACATCAGGGACAGGCAGCCACGGTACGCGTACCCGCACGGCAACCGGACGGAGATCAGGGGGAGGACGAGGCCACGCCGGTCGGCGGAGCAGCGCTCAGCAGTAACAAGAAGATCGCGGCCCATTGTACGGGCCGGTGCCCACGGCAGGAGATCGCAGCCAGGTGACCGGGCTGGGCGGGGATGATGAGGTGAGTTGAGAGATGGGTTAATTGTGAGATGGGAGGAGCTTGTGTTCCATCTCACCAAGCATTGGTAGTTTCTGTCCCTAGCAACAGGGTGAAAGGAGGGTGGTTGAGTGGTGGACGTCACATCACAATTTGTGACGTCACTTTTAGTGGCGGACATCACGAATGATCAGCAAATAACGTCCCGGAAGGTCACGTGGCAAATGACAACAGAGGGCATCCCTTAGCGAACGTCACGCAATGCCGTCCACCGAACGTCGTCACGCGAGGCCTCCGCCGGGGCGGCGCCGGGGAGCACCGCCAGCGGCCGGCCGAGTGCGGGCCGCCGTCCACTCACTGTCGGTCGGGACTAGCGGCCGAGCGGCGGGCCCGCTCGTCCCGGTAGCCGCTGTCCGAGCCGTCCCGGTAGCCGGACGTCTCGCGGTAGCTGTAGCTGCTGCGCTGCGCCTCGGCCGGCGAGCGGCTGCAACAGACGGACGGCCGCCGTTGGGCCGAGCGGACGGCGACGCGCGCGAGACCGCGGCCCATCGCGGCCGGCGGTAGCGGCGACCGCCGCCGAGCTCAAGCGACACTGATCACCAGCCAGCGGCGGCGGTGCATGTATGCCGGGCGCCATACAATACAGCGTAGTTTTCAGTACGACTGAAGCCAGCGTTTCCGAGCGAAACCAAGTAAGTCCGTGGTGGCGGGCAGCGGGCTCTTAACGGCATCGGCTTGCGTGGGAGGAAGTGTCACCTTCCCGGGTGGATCAGTGGACATTTTACGCCGCGACAAAGGACAAAGCAATGTTCCGATCGTCGTAAGCCTGACATAAGTCTCGCTTATGCAAATTACTGGGAACAATACATTTACAGTCCTCCAATCAGCACACCATGTGGCTAATGCGTACCGGGTTCTACGCAAAGGGTAACGCCTCCCACGAGACTTGGCGAGCAGTGTAACGAGAATCCCCTACGCCAAACGGTAACTATCAAAATCGCAGACAGAACAAAATGAAAGTTTCTAACTGCTGCAATCAAGGTATGTACCAGTAGTCCCCACAGGAAGGGACTATCGCAAAATGCACAATGTCCCTTCTTTAGTTTTAAAGTGGCAGACGCTTGGTGGATGTGAAAGACGCATAGCTCTTAAAACACGTGGATGAGTTCTTAAAGGACGCATAGCTCTTAAAACAGATGGACACTTTTTAAGTCCCCATTTGACAAGTCACCGGCTTGCCTGGTTTAGCCGCGCCTTTCCCAGAATTACCTGTACGTGTGCAGCACCGCCACATCTAACTACTTGAAATGTAACGGGGTTTGTTATTTGAATTTTAGAATAAGCTCGTGGACTTAATTCCGCCAGTTCCCTCTCATGTCCTCACCCTACTTCGTTCCACCAGAGGACAGCATGGTGTTCGAAGATGACACATGAAAATGATTGCAAAGCCCCGTTTAAATTGTCGCGCAAACGGAGGCTTCTGTTGCGCTAATCGATGTTTTATGGCTCATATGTTTCATGCGTTTTTATGAGTTATGGTTGCTCACTTTCGCTCGGCGCCCACTGACCGGACAAGGCCGGGCCTGGCCACGCCTGCTCCAGCACACTGAACCAAGCACCCAGCCAGGTGGGCGGCAGCCATCTAAGGGCCGCCTCCAAAGCGCGCGCGCGCGCACAGCAGCAGTCCGGCGGCATGCATCCGACGTCCGCTACAGGATACAGCCCTGGCGCATGCGCGGGACCTAGCCACGGCGCGGATAACGCAGGCAGCTGCCAGGTGCCCGCAGCCCAGCAGTGGAGCGCGGAGGCGCCCCCGTCCTCTGCTGCTCCGGTTACCTGCCGTGCCGTGCCAGAGGCGGCCTCGTCCTGCCCCCGTACCGGCCGGGCTATGACGCATCAACTGAATGCAACATGTTGTTAGGGATTGTGTTACAGGCTGTAAAAATATTGCTCAGAACAATAAACATGACATGTATAATTCCGGCAAGTTATCAACCTACTTGAACTGGCAAATATAAGCTTGCCTGAATCATTTCATGCACGTTGTTTGTTGCAAGATATCGTCGTCTTAGACCCATTCTAATCGAACACATACAACAGAATGCCAAGGACTTTGCAAGTGTATGGAATTCAACACCGTGCGCCAGAACCCGTTCGGCAACCGGCCAGCGTTAATATCGTTCGTCGGCGTACCACATATCACACATTCCCGCCCTCACATCGTAGGCAAATACCAGCCCACTAAGAACTACCTGTCAGACTTCAGTCAGGTGGCAGGCCGCCCCTAGACGGCAGCCGACCACCTCACCCACCACACGGGCGCCATCTGTCGGCAGGCGCGGACCGTGCGGCGCCGGCGCGACGACGGGCCGCCCCGACGCGTGCAGGGCCATGCGGCGCATGCTCTCGACCCAACCCGTGGTGCGGCGTGCGGCGGCGTGCGGTGCGAGGCTCGCGAACGCGCCGGTGACGTACTGTACTGGACAGGCGGCGGCCGCCTTGTACCTGTCGTCGTAGTACGGCGCCGAGGCCGCCGGCGCCGACTCGTAGTACGGTGGCGAGGCCTCGCGGTAGGCGGGCTGGAACAGACGGCTGGGTCAGGCGCCAGACGATGTCGGGCCGCTGGAACCATGACCCCTGGACAGACGTGGAAACGACCACTAGGAGAGCCCAACGACAGCTTATCGGGTGCTGCCATTCCCCAAAGGTGTGTGTGTGATAATGAATGGTCCGGGAAGAGAGAGAGAGAGAGAGAGAGAGAGAGAGAGAGAGAGAGAGAGAGAGAGAGAGAGAGAGAGAGAGAGAGAGAGAGAGAGAGAGAGAGAGAGAGAGAGAGAGAGACAGAGACAGAGACAGAGACAGAGAGACAGAGACAGAGACAGAGACAGAGACAGAGACAGAGACAGAGACAGAGACAGAGACAGAGACAGAGACAGAGACAGAGACAGAGACAGAGACAGAGACAGAGACAGAGACAGAGACAGAGACAGAGACAGAGACAGAGACAGAGACAGAGACAGAGACAGAGACAGAGACAGAGACAGAGACAGAGACAGAGACAGAGACAGAGACAGAGACAGAGACAGAGACAGAGACAGAGACAGAGACAGAGACAGAGACAGAGACAGAGACAGAGACAGAGACAGAGACAGAGACAGAGACAGAGACAGAGACAGAGACAGAGACAGAGACAGAGACAGAGACAGAGACAGAGACAGAGACAGAGACAGAGAGACAGAGACAGAGACAGAGACAGAGACAGAGACAGAGACAGAGAAGACAGAGACAGAGACAGAGACAGAGACAGAGACAGAGACAGAGACATAGACGAGACAGAGACATAGACAGAGACAGAGACAGAGACAGAGACAGAGACAGAGACAGAGACAGAGACAGAGAGAGAGAAGAGAGGAGAGAGAGAGAGAGAGAGAGAGAGAGAGAAGAGAGAGAGGAGAGAGAGAGAGAGAGAAGAGAGAGAGAGAGAGAGAGAGAGAGAGAGAGAGAGAGAGAGAGAGAGACACGAGCAGCGGTGGGGCTCACCCGGTACCATACGGGTATTACCTGCTGGTAGCTCTGCTGCTGGGCCGGGGCGGCGGACGGGTAGTAGTCGGGCGAGCGGGTCCGCTGGGCCGGCGGTTCGGCGGCCGGCTCGTACCTGGCCGGCTCGTCGTTGTACGATTGCGGCTGCTGCGGCCGGTCAGGGAGAGGGCGGAGGCCGTCAGCAGGGGCACGCGGCGGACAAGCACCGGCGGCTGGGCCCGGCTCCCCGGCTCCGAAGGTTACGACCTCACAGACGGTCCATGGTTAATGAATTGGACAACCCATCCATACAACAGCAAAATCAGGCCACTTTAGCCGTTATAACACAAGCGTTTGCCAAGAAAAAAGTAAGATAAAATCAACTTGAAAATAATCCGAAAAAATATCTGATTTCGATGCAAAGTACGTGAACACGCGTACACATGTGATCTAGCAGTGCACATGCCATTCAGAGTATCACGTTGACATTTCAGAAAACGATCGCGCATCACCGTGAGGCAGTCGCTGTTAGCAAAAGCTGGGTCAATGGTGAGTGGACATCTGGCAGAACGAAGTGTTAGCTTTTGAAAACGACAGCCAGGACCATCTCAAGGTGGAGCAGCTTCCCCCGAGATGTTTATAAGCGCACACAATCGGGTACGCATCCAAGAAGACGCTCTGACGCTTACTTGGAGTATACCAAGAACGCCACGGCAAAAAAGGGCATGACAAGGAGAAGGCGAAAAGGATCTGGCTCCAACACACTGGCATACGAAAGACACACGAAGTTTCTGTTAGTGGGACTGAGAAGGCCTGAACACGCCGACAAGCATTAGTGCACAGCAGGAGCTGACGAGCTGCTCAGAACGCCTCACGACCCTGGAAACTGGGACATCACTACAGGCGGGCTCTCAAAGTCCGGTTCCACAGCCGGCAGCTGAGCAAAGGCAAGCACTTTCTGCAGCGATAGTTCCGACGACGCATCGCACGCCTCGTGGGCAGCTCCACCCCCACGCACACCGGACCCGTGCACCGGCACGCCGGCCGAGCACCGCTCAGGGGCTGCCAAAGGGAAGCACCGCCGCCAACGGACAGGCGAAAGTCGAGAGAAGGTGCCGCATTAGTGAGCGGCAGGCGCCGGCCGCGTCCGCGGGCCGACGGCGCGCGCCGCGCTCCGCCCGGTTAGTGGTGGTGGCGCGCCCAGCCGGGCGGAGCGCGCTCGGCCGTTAGTGGTGGTCGCGCCGGCCGGCGGCGGAGCGCGCTCGGCCCGGTTAGTGGTGGTGGCGCGCCCGGCCGGCGGCGGAGCGCGCTCGGGCCGCCGCCGCACCTGGTAGTGTCCGTAGCCGCTGGCGTGACTGGAGCGGCGCGAGTCGCCGGCGGAGCGGCGCTGCTGCTGCTGCTGCCGCTGCATCTGGCCAGACAGTCGGCGCACGGTGCGACAGCGGGCCAGACAGGCGTGTGACAGCCGACAGACAGGCGAAAGGTAACCGATGCAGACGCCGAACGGCTGACAGACAACCGACGCAGACGCTGGACAGCCGACAGACGGCCGACAGACGGCTACCAGACAGCTGACAGACAGGCACTACAGACAACAGGCAGTGGCAGGCGGTTGACAGACAGCCGACGCAGGCCAGACATCCATCAGACAGCGGACATCGTCGCCGGGCAGCGAACACAGCCGCCAGGACACCAAATCAGACTGCCAGCAGTCGCCCGACACCGGGCAGGCAGCTAGTACAGTACTGGATAACACTGGTGGCGAACACACCCGGCAGACAGCCGCGGGTTAGGGGGCGTGCGGCCTCGGCGAGGAGACACGGGTTCGGAAAACCAGGCAGATGGGCAGAGGTGGGCGCTATGGTCACACTTGCCAACACACACCAACAGAACAGCTGGGACGGGCTTGGACGACTGGCATGAGGTTGGCAGTAAAAACAAATTATCAACTGAATACTCGTTTTGTAACGGCTACAGCGCATTCAATAAGACCTCGAACAAACCAAACATGCATCGTCTGCCTCCCTGTGCGCTGACCGGGCTCGGGTCAAGGTCAAGGGCTCGGCCTGCCGCCAACCACGCCGCCTGGTGCAGACTCCAGCCGACGGAGTTGATGGCACTAGCCGGGCAACCGGGCCGCGAACCGTCGCCTCACCTCCAGCGCGTCCAGCGGGTGCAGCAGGTCCTCGCCGTGGATCATGGCCTTCTGCACCTCCTCGCTCTCGACGGTCGTGTTGTCCAGCTTCTGCAGGTGCGGCAGCGTGCGCAGCAGCGCCAGCCGGTAGCCCTCACGCTGGGCGCACGGGTTGTCCGCCAGCCAGAGCGCCTTCAGCTTGGGCAGCTCCTTCAGGTACACCACCTGGCGGATGGTGAGCGACGGGCAGCTGTTGTCAATATCCAGGGTGAGGTGCAGGCACACAACCGGGCGGAGACGGTGGCAAGGGGCAACGACAAATGTACGAATCCAGCAATAAAGACCACTCACAACCGTCAGTGAGGTGGGTCTGCACTTCGAAATTTGTACGCATGACCCTGTGCACTTGATTTGTGGATTGAGGAGACATGCGTTTACAATGGACGTCGTAGACACTTCAACCACTGGGTACTACGATACGTATGTCCCAGGTCCCAACAAATTCGCGTGTGTGTTCACCCATCGATCACGTACCTTCAAAACGCGAGAAGAGCCAATAGCCAGCGACAAGTCGCTGCGGTAAACATTCAGGCGCGGTGCACGGTGCCTGAACGGTGCCTGAACGGTGCCAGGCACGGTGCCTGTGCAATGCTAACTTTGAACCGAGCTGCAACGGGGTTTCCATTCCTGACTAAATGCGCGGAAAACTCCCACCATTTGTAGGGTTTGTGTTCATTTGTAAATCATCAGCTCGCACCGGCACTCACATGACTTCAAGCACAATAATGCTTTCCATGTGCATCCTTACATCACCAGGATGAGATTTATTGCAGGGATGGTATAAAGTAACATGACATGGAAGGGCGAGTACAGTGATGATCAGAGGTAAACAGAGTTCCCACACAGACTAGACCACACGAATGTAAGCCTCAAAATGAACAATGCATACCTATGATGGACAACACCTAGCATAACTTCACAATCTCCATGCCGTATTTGGATTGCAGTAGTGGACGTGCGCTGCGTTTGCCGCTTCGGTGACCGGCCTCCGTGTCACCAACCGATCTGCCGCGCTTCACTAACCTCAGACCGTCCTCCGTGTCACCGACCTATTTGCTGCGCTTCACTAACCTCAGGTCGGCCGCAGTGTCGCCGACCTATCTGCTGCGTTTCACTGACCTCATTCAGATCTGTGATGTTGTTCTGTCGTATGTAAAGCTCGGACAGGTTGTGACAGTACTGGAAGTCCACCAACGTGGTGATGTTGTTTACACTAGAAAGCAGAGTCACCAGTATTATATTTAGAGCATTACTAAGCCCTGAACGGACGAGACCAGACCCGTCTTGGGAGACAGTACTTAGAAGGTCAGTTTTATTTCGAAGCAGGCGCCCACTTTGAAAAGCTTGACGGCGTCTCCCAACTTCAGAACTCCTAAAACTTTCAGTACATTGTTTCATTCCATGATCAGGCACTATGAACAAAAAGTTTAACACGACGACACTCAGATTTAGACAACCCCGTGGGTGTTATCCCTACCCAGCGGCGTGACCAGTATCCACAAATACCACTTCGTCGCTTTTTCCAAATAACGACGCAACATCTGTACTAAGCGCGGTCGTGACATGTCGAAGCACAGGACGGCCTTTACTCCTCGGTAACATTTGGCCAACGCGCTGAGGACGCTATCATTTCGTTCCGATCACTTAGGTGGTATGGTTGGTGACCACGCAGCAATCTTTACTGAACATGAACTCTGATCTCCAAACAACCGAAAGACACAATTTGTGTGGCAACTTTGGGGAAAAAAGGAGGCATGTATTCAATGGAGCTGGAAGCCAGCAACGACTCGACAAAAAGGCTGCTTCCCGGTTCAGGGAGTGACAAAGTAATGCAAGCTGAGACTTCCTGTCATAAAACATTGTTAGGCCGTCTGAACCAGTAATATGGACAGATCATTGTTCGGACAATGATCCTCGCCCGGTGCGTTAACGTTTACACAGCGCTTCCACCAATTAGCTGCCCAGACATCGTCCGGTGTTATGAAGTCCTTGGAAAGGCTGGGTGATGTTTGACTTTCAGCCATGCACATGTCGCGAGCCGAATTATCTCCCTGAGATTGCTGGGATCTGAACCCTGATCTTCTGATTGTGATTCCGGTACTTTAACCACTGAGCTTACAAGGACAAACAACCAGGAAGGATGGGTCTTTTGGCTGCAAGCCAAGCATCATTCAGTCCTCCCAAGAGCTCCACAACACCTGACTGGGGAGTTAACTGGCTTAACACTGTGTACGTACTAACACGCCAGACAATGGCGGTATTTCGAGCGATTGCTCTACCCGTGATTCTAATGTCACGACTCAATCCCTTTCAACATGCAAACCAGTGGTTTCGTAAATCATAAATGTCCAGAAGTTAATGGAAGCTTATCCTTTTTGAGGTATTCATATTCGAAAGTCAGCTTACCTGAGTGCCAGCACTTCAATGTTTGGAAGCTTTCTGACAACTGAAACGTCAGATATTTCGCTGCCCCTGCAGGATAAGGAAGACCAATCAGATCGTATTCATGATGCACGCTTCTCCGCAAATCAAAGGCACAGCCATGTGCAAGAGTCACTAATCTGTGAAAGATACCACTTATGACCATATGAACCTCAAAGATCCTCGTTGTTAAAGCTTTGTTCACAATGGTCTCTCATGCTATACCAAAACAAAAACAAACAAAAAACAGAGGTATGGGGGTTCAATTGTCACTGCCCGCCCTTCCCACCAGGGCGAGAGGCAGGCGGGCTGTATAGCCTGAACAGCCGAGTGTCGTAAAGCCACAACGACACTTCAACAAAACGTGCTTATGACAGATGCATCTTGAAATGGACCACACGCTGTCTGTGTGAGACACAAGTATAGTTACTCTAGGACTTCAGCATATCTGTTCCGGATGATAAACATCCTTATTCCTCACCAGCAGTTGAGCTTCCTGATGCTATTGAGCTCCGCACCACGACTGCGGGCCACCACCATGTCTTCTGTCAGCTTCATAGCTGTAGGCCTTTATGCCATTTATCTGAAGTCAGGCATAGTGACCCTTTGTCAATAAAGTGTACCAACATGTAACCCCAGAGAGGCTTGGAGTAGTCTGAAAAGTTGGTCCTGTTGCTGCCACTGCCCAAGACCACATGGCAGTCAAGTGCGGAGCAGGAACCATGGGCCCTGCACGGGCGGCGTCTGCAGTGCCACCGCCACCACAGCCCCATTACCTGCCCTGACACAGGACATCAATGCCAACCAGGCAGTGGCGACCCCATGCAGGAGACTGCGGCCCCGCCGCTGCTACAAGCTCATCACCACAGCCTCACTCCAGACATGCCCCATACAACTAGGAGAAATCCTTGCACTGTGGCACATGGTTTGCCTGTGCTGGTTAATGGGCCTGACACCTCAGTGAGGATGGAACTGTGGGTGTGAAAGGAGGAAGGCTGTGAAGTAGTTGGTGGAAGTCAGGTAATCTCAAAGGTTTCTGAGCCTGAAATATCTGGTACCATAAGCCGTACCTTGATCCTAGTGAATCTGAGGAAGTGTTATGACATTTACAGAGTGTTTCCTGAGTCCTAAGCTGTCTGAACATTCACAATCAGCTTGATATCCTTAAAGTCAATGACTGCAATATGCTTGCAGGGGACCTTTTTATGTGAATACTGATGAGCATGATCTGTTGAAAAACAATTTGTTAAAGCACAAATCAGAAAGCACCTATCCATAATAAAAGTCAAAACATCTAAAACTGCCTGACAGTGATCTCCAGGATGAATTATCATTGAATCTTCAGATAATGCCTGACATACTGGTTTTCCCTGATGAGTTTAGCAAGCAACATGTTAAGAGATGGTTTTTAATTATTTTTAAGCATTTATGGTGATTTGGACCTACTGGCAGAGGTCTAAGATGAATGCATTTATGGTGATAAGGGTCTCTTGCTGGGGGACAGAGACAGGTAAGTTTATAGGCCACATCCCATCATGACAGCCACAAGGTCCAGGACTGACATAATTGTGAATGCAGGAGCCTATCTGGAATTTTGTAATGAGAGGGAGAAATCCTAATTTGTCAAAGAAAAACCCACTTAAGTTCACTGCAGGCATGCCAAACTTCTTGGGTAATGTACATCAATGCTGCATATTCTTCAAGCTGCTTAATCTGTTTGGCCAACTCAGTTTCCCACAGCCTTCATCTATCTACATGCATATTAATTTATATTAAATGTGGCATAACACCTGTGTGCCAGTGTGCAAAATATCTGCCCACTGTGCCAAACATGCCTTAGTGCACTGACTTTGGTGCATGAGGCATGTGTATGCTCAACTTAAGTCAGGCAAAATTTTTGATTTTTTTCACAATTTTTGCTTGAAAATTTGTGAAGGGTATTCTTGCTTGATGTCATCTTAACAGTCCAGATTTCTTCAAACATAAGCTTTATATATGTTGAGACTGGTTGTGACTATGGGCCAAACTGAGTGATCAGAATGTTTCCTTGGGTGAGCAGTGATAAACACATGACTGAATCACCAGTAATCAACATTGTCTTAACACAACAACCGGGATAAGCAGATAAGCCTCCCACAGACACACAAAGCTCCATTCAAGTCAAGCTTGACAAGACCAAACGCAATAAACGACTAAACCCTGCACGTTCTTCTCAAAAAGGTGGTATAATGCACGACACAGCACAGCAGCAGATATGATGAGAGCGATGCCGAGAAAACGATCGGTATCGAGGTACTATCGAGGTGTTGCTCACGCCACCACACGTAGGCGCCGACGAGGCGGTGCACTGACACACCACAGCCGGGAGCTCAGTCTACCGTAACAACCTTAATTTCACGCTTTGGTGACCCCCAACGAACAATGAGCCACACCACAACATGTGAATTCTAAGGCGTTGCAAATAAAAAAAACAAAATAATGCGGTAAAATTATCCGACACCTGCCTTATTGTGCGCGAACCTCCCCAGGTGCCCGCGGCCACTCGCGTCCCACGCGATCGAACGGCCCGAAATTAATAACAGTGTTGTAAACCGTGACCTTCACGTTCCATTCATCCAGGCTGTTGGTAGCTGTTAGACACTGCTCGTACGCGCAGCGCCATTCACGCAGAAACCATTTTAAAGCAATCAACGAAGGCAAGGCAATTCAAGGTGTAATATTCTCCGTTTTCATTGGTCCTTGCTAATGCAAGTTCCACATGCATAAAATGGAACATGTAAATATTTCAGTTCTAGCGCAAAAGCGCTGAGGAGTGACGCTTCCAATAATTGTGCTGGGCACTCGGATTGTACTCATGGTTAGGGGAACTTGGAGGGTAGAATTGGGGTTAGATTCGGTTGGGTTCATTCGCACCAGGGCAGGTAGCTGCATGCATGTCGTGGAAACGTCACCATAGGAGCTGAGAGTACCCTTGCCGAAATTAAAGATTTTCTCAATGCTTAGTGTTTGCTGAGTTATCTACAAAAACTCACGAACAACATGCAATCATCCAGTGAATGGGGTGAAGCCGGTGTACAGATCCACAGCATTGGCTACCTTCTTTTTTGTCCTTGCCAGTACCATCCAGCCTTGTGATGCATCTTTGGATGTAGTAGTGTGCCAGATGGTTTAAAAATCAAAGCAAATTGCAACCATGCTGACAAGATGTTGCTGAAATGTGCTATAATTTTCTGCACATATAGGGCATTTTGGTAATTGCATGTACATATGCATTTTTGCCCATCAGGCTGAGCTTCTGTCATGTAAGTTTTTTGCTCAGCCAACAGGGTAGCATGAACTGGAGTTGGGGCTGGAAGCTGCAGTCCTTTCTCTAGGCTTTTCAGCTAGGCTGCATGTATCCACCCTCTAAAATAGAGGGTGGTTGCACTCAGGGCTTCTGCACCCTCCAAAATGGAGTGTGGTTGCACACTGTCAGGAGCAGCATTAGAGATTGTGCATACCCCAGCATTATATTAGCAAAATGCTGTTAGTGCTTTTTATGTGGTGCATATAACAGAGATTTCAGATGTATGCTGTAACAGAGATTGTGCTGACTGCTCAGTGGACTTTACTCTATGCTGCTTTCCTGTAAGCACTGTGTTTCACAGGCCTGTGCAGTAGCTGAAACTGGTGCAACAAGCTTAAGAAGAAATGCAGCACATTTCGCTTAGCAAGCTCACCACAGAGTGAGTTTGGGCTATATCTAGCTGTATGTTTATTTTAGGTGCATTGTTTAAAAATTTTCTCTCTAGGGTCAGGGTTAAAGCTATGTTTAAGTGCAATTTATTGTGTTTTGTCCACTTAACTTTATTGAAAATGTAATAAATAGGATGATAATGTAAAGATATTCAAAATGGTGAATGAATAAGTCACAAGACTTAAATCTATGCATCTCTGCCAAAGAAACAAGGCAGAACACATTTGCTGGACATGTTACTCCATTTAGGTGCTTTGGCATAACACCAGCTATTGCTATCACCACCCCTTTGTTTCTTGCCGCAGTTTTAAACTTGGTTGAATGTGGTCCTGGAAGCATTCTGTGAACACCCAATCCATCCTCATTTTTTTGTTTGTTTTATTCCATGTGTTAGTGTGTGTATTGTGCAAAGTCTAAAAATGGACTGAAAAGGGGACCTAATATTTCCGTGACATGCAGGAAGAGATGGCATCTAATGTGTCAAAAAAGTCAGCAAAAGAGGATGAAGTGATCAGCTGTTTGTGATCTGTGACCACATACACATTAAGGAATAATATATTTTTTTAGCCTGAAAGTGATGTGCATTCAGAGGGAAGTTGCAGTTTCTTATATGCATGTGACAGATGTTTCCAAATTTTGACCTGCATGAAAAATATGGGAAATATTTATCAGTGTCAATCAAATCTACTATGATTCTTTTAATTGTGATGTTTGTGTGCATTTTCTATGTGCTACTGGTAGCTTGCTCCATGTGTGGGTGACTTCAGTATGAGTGATCATTGAAAAATGTTGTTTAATTTTCAGGTAGCATGGGGTGCTCTGGGTTTATGAGTAATTGGCCAGTGTTTGTGATGCATGTATGGGGGAGTATCTGCCAATATAGGGGCATTGTTGATGAGGTTTTGTATTCATCAGCATGTGAAAAGTGACTGTTTTTGCTGCCTCGGTTGTGTCCCAAGGGCATTCCACCCCATGTCCATGCCATGTCCATAAGTTGATGTCCAGGTAAGGCTCCTGATCTGAGTGTCACCACTTGGTCTTTCTTGTTTGTTGTGTGATGTAATGTATATGTCACCAGCAATGCACAATAATTAATATAATATCTTTGTAAGTTTTTACATGTGACAGAGTGTGCTGCAATGTGTGCTTAGCTATGGTGTTAAGTGGGTGTGAGCTATGTATGCCTGCTTATGTTGCTATGTACTTGTGTGTGATATTTCAGATCTGTTTATACAGTACATTCCAGGTATTTATGCACTTTGGTGCCTTGGTAAATGCATTGGCCTGAGCATTTCAGCATTGGTTGTGGGTTTTGTGTTTATGGCTGAATGTCAGGAATATTGTTTTAGAGGTGTTGCATTTCATGGCCCGCTGTCTTCCATCCCCCTCAGAAGCATCCAAGTCAGTCAAAGAGAGTCCTGTACCATGTCAGTACTGTTTGACTATGGGAGGCAGGGAGGGAAGTGTCATTGGCATAAAATAGTATGTCAATAGTTTTTCAGAAAGTCTGTCAAGATGCATAAGAGCCAATTGATGTTTTATGATCAATCCCTGTGGGCGCCCAGAAGCCATGGTTATTGTAGAACTGACATCTCCCACCCTCCCCTTTTGTGTTCCAGTCCATCATGCCAAATTGTTCTCATATCATATTGTAAGTATTCTCAAATTGGATATATTTTGTGTAATCTGTTGTCCCTTGTAGACAGAGGAACATTCTGGTCACTGCTGAGAAGAAGCGGATCTGTGAGCAGAGAGCACTTCATATTGTGGAGATGCTACTTGAGCCTACCATCGAGTCTGCATGGCTTTTGCAACAGGTTTGTGTCATTTTGGCATTTGTTGTGGTGCTAATAATACATTCACCAATCAACAGTTACTCTCATTTAGTTGTCAATGCTTCTCAACTGCAGGTGTAAGCTATTTGCTTCTGTGCACATGAGTTCATGTGCCAGTCACCTGAATACTTAAAACTTATGGTATACCTGAGTATCTACCTGCAGTGTTGTGCTAGGCTTGACACAATGCAACATAAATATTCAGTCATTATACTTAGATGTGTCATGTGTTGAGTGATATCTCCTTCACAAAATGCTTGTACTGGCAGGTGAAATTCATCGATCAGAACCATTACCAAGATGTAACAGAAGAGCGGTGTGTTACTGGCTGCTGTGGGTATCCGCTTTGCTCAAGGAGTCTTGGCAAGATACCCAAAAAGCAGTTCCAGATCTCTACACTCACCAACCGAGTGTATGACATTTCAGAAAGAAAGGTAAGATGCTTCCAGGTACTTGTGTCAATTACTGGAACCGTCCAGGGTCAGCAGGTAGTTGCTACCTCGGTGATTCTAGGATTTTGCCAAAGTTGGACCGCCAGGCTGTCTGGAGCATGTCTGGTGTGGAACATCGCGGAGCCCATGAGGCCAATGCCCCTAAATGCTGCGTCCGTGTTACAATTGAATGATAAACCTTGTGACGGCTCGTTGACCCTCGGTGGCTCTATGGCTTTTGCCTAGCTGCTAATTGCATGCCCCTCGGTATTGCTTGTGTCATTATTTATTGCTCGCACATCCCTTTTTGTATTCCGTCTGCTACTCAGTACTGTGCAGCATTCCATCTGTTAACGCTTAGTTGTCTCTTACTGTGCCGCACGATCTCAGCGCTCTGTTGGCCCTTCCATCAGCAAGGAGCTGGATTACCTGACTGTTGGAACTGTTGCCGCGCGATCTCAGCGCTCTGCTGGCCCTTCCGTCAGCAAGGAGCTGGATTACCTGACTGTTGGAACTGTTGTTTTACCTGACTGTTTATTACCATCTGTTGGAAAATCCTGGCGAAAAATGATGCTTCAGATGATAAAGAAGCTATGATTACACTCTGCCTGTATCATTGTAAATACCCTGAACACTGACGGCAAAAAGAGACAACTTTTTTTGTGTGCGTCATGACCTAGAGAAGAAAGGCATTTGTATTCTACGTGACATCCGTCACGCCGGCGACTGTGGTCCCATCACAGCGTTGTTATCCCTCCTGGACAGTCATTACCAGAACGAAGGCCAACGCTGTTCTATTCATCTTTGCCTCTTCACAAATTATTGCCTGTGCCGTCCAGATCAGTAAGTATTATTGTTTCTGACGCTGGACACTCACGAGGAAGGCCTATCTACCTGGGAATTGGAGAATTGAAAAAATTGAGAAAACGTTCGTCATTGTCTGCGCCTATCCGAGTAACGCGCAGAAAGAAACACGGAAGCGTGATTGGGGATCATGACCTCCGAAAAGCAACAACGACCACCATTAGTTCCGCCCCTGCCACTGAGGCAGGCCCTGCCTCCGCCTCTGCCAGCCAGGCAAGCGTTGCCTCCGACTCCGACTCAGCCAGGCAAGCGTTGCCGCCAGTCTGGTAAGCGTTGAGCACGCCTTTACCAGCCAGGCAAGCGCTGCAAACAACGAGCGAACAGCATCTGTCGTAGCACATGACCCCCAGCTCGATATCAGATTAAGGTTGGCCTTACTTGGAAAATATTTCCCTTTAAGTGGTGTTATTGCGACGTAACAATGACCGCCAAACCCTGGCGGTGCGGCTGTCCGTCTTCATCGTGTTCCTCGGTTGCCTTGGCATTGTCCTACCATTCCCCTGTCACTCCGTATCGCCAGTCCCTTGTCTGTGCATCCATTCTGCTCGTCCCCACGTCCTCGCGTACCCCACGTCTACCGCCATCGCTGTGCAACACGCTGCGCTCGATGCGATGGGCTGGGCTGCCACACTTGGGTCTTCCGTCTCGCGGTATCTTTTCCCGGTATGTTAGTCCGCCCGTATTTCTCCGTTTACATGGTTCTTGCCTCATGGTCGATCCCTTTTTCTCGCGTCGTTTCGCACGTCTTCCGTAAAGTTTTGTGTCTATTGATTGAGCTCTAGTGGTCCTTGTCTTTCAACCTAAATTTTTACCATTCTGATATATATCATTATGTGGTCGGCTTTGGACCAGACGTTGTGGGCGGACCCTATATCCATCACAGCATCCTAGCCAATTCTTCGTAACTTTTTTAGTTGTATTAAATTTGGCTCATTTCAAAATTGGCGTAAACAATTAAGTTAGCGCAGTTAACTCGAGCGCAGTTGCCTGAAGAAGCCAGTGCAGTGTTCTGACACCCTAAACGGCGTTGAGGGAGAGGGGCGAGGTATAAGGGACAGGGTCGCGGGGCTGACGACCTTTACTGCTGGACGTGAGAATGAACGTGAGTGAGCCTGGTGGTGGAATCGAGCCAGGGTGTAGTACGGTTGAGCGAAAGGGGGTAACGTGGAGGGCCCACGGGAGCACGCGGTAGGTCGTCATATAAGCAGGATGTGTAACATCCGTCAAGTCACCTATACGGATTGACCAGCCTCAAAGAACGCCTGAGAGCAACGTGACGGTTTTGGCCAGGGTAACGGCGAGGCGCCCATCTAGATGTGACATAATCCAGCCCGCGTCAGCCGCCCCGTGATATGTGTGTGAAAACCAGGGAGCCCGGTCACTGACCTCATACCAATAACGCGAAATTACCCTCTCCCAAGCACTGAAAATGCCGATATGTCTCGAAGATATTTGAACAGGTCTCGATGAGTCATAATCCCACCAAGGCACGCGTGAAGGCCATGCGTGTTGTGGTGCCTGCCCGCAGTTTGCCTACCCTATCGCCGGTGAGTTCGAAGACGTTCCATGACATCACCGCAGCCGCAGCGACTGCTGTCTCGCTTCAACTCCATCCTTGTCCTTGTCCTTATCACAAGCTAACATTACATTACGACCGCTGTCCCTGTTCTTCCCTTGCTACCCTGTCCTCCTTTGCGTGTGGTAATGGGTAGGGCTTTACGTCTCCCCGACTGCCAGGGCCATGTCGAGACGGACGCCTTCACAAGGGTGTCGCGTGGGACACAGTTTGGCGTGGGAGGGGTCCGAACCCAACACTCACGGGTCCAGAATCGAGCGCTCTAACCATTATACCACCAACGGGACCTCCTTTGCCTCTGGTGCTTTTGGTACGCATCTGACGGACGCACTTCCCCGGACACTTCTAAAGCCTCTGGTACCCCTGGCTCTTACGGCCAGGTGCTCCTGGTGTTCGGAAGTGGTCCGGACGCACGTAAGTCCTCATGGCGGCTTCCGGCGTTCTTCAGAGCTTCTGTTGTTGATGTGAGGTGGGGATGTGACCAAGTGCCACTGGGGTGTTCCCTGGAGTGTGGCGACGTAATCAGGACACTGAGAACCTTTTCAGAAATTCTGCAGCAATGCCTGCTTTCGAGCGTCTCGGCACTTGCACGCGCAGATTCAGACCAGTCCGCTGTGGCTGCGGGACCACGAGCCGGCACCCAGCTTCACCCTCCTAGATGAAGCGGCCAATCGGTAAGATAAACAAGTCTCGCTGGGTCGCCAATTGTATTCTGCTCCTGTTTATTGCTGATGCCACCCATCCCCGTTTTCTCTTCAATAAGGCTGATCAAACATGTTAGACATTGGCGAGGGGTTCAGTATTTTGGCTAACCCATTTCTCTGTCATACCTAGAAATAAATCGATTTTGCTATAAAAAAAATCGTCGGAGCGCATATGCAGTTCCCTGTCCGGCAATGCTATCACCGTATTGAACATGTATCTCGCATATAATGGAACCAGTCGGCAGCCTGTGGCGCGTGCGGCTGGCGCCACGTGAGCGCCGCTGACGCCGCCGGCCGTCGGCAGGCGGGGTGTGGCCGGTGACCCGGTGGACCTGGGCGTGGTGTGCGCGCCGGCCGAGGACGCGGCGCAGACCACCACCGACCAGGTGGTGACCGGCATGCTGCACCAGTTCGACGAGCTCTCGGAGCGGATCGGCGAGCTCGGCCTGAGGCCGGAGGAAGAGAGCGAGCGGCAGCCCGGCGGGGGGCGGGCCGACCGCGGCAAGGTGCGGTTCGGCACGCCCGCCGGTCGGACTGACGACCCGCCGCCTCCAGCACCGGCCGAGGTCGCGCCGGCTGACCAGGAGCCCGGGGAGAGCGGCGTCGCGGAGAGCCCCGCGGACGGACAGGCGGCCGAGGCGTCGCCGACTCGAACGCCGCCAGAGACTGCGGCCGGGGCTCCGCCGCGAGCGCAGGAGCCGGCGTCACCAGACTCGGAGTCAGAGTCGGGCCGGACGGCGGCCTTCAAGCGGCCGTCGTGCGCCGCGCGGCGGCCGCAGCACCCGCTGGTGGTGGTGGAGGCGCGACTCTTTGACTGGATGGCGGCGCGGACGGTACCTGAGCCGCCCGCGCCGCCCGCGCCGTCGAGCACCGCCCACCCGGAGCTCGGACAGTCCGTCCCACCGTGCGCCGAGGCCACGCACACTGTGGCTGAGACGTGCGCACGGGACGACTCGGCCGGCGGCGGCCCGTCCGAGGTCGCCGCGCCGATCCTCACGCGGCAGGAGGCGGAGGCGCGCAACCAGGCGCTGCTGGCCTACCTGCAGGGACAGACGGGCGCGCCGCGGAAGGAGGCGGTGCAGCAGCCGGCGCAGGGACAGTCGCCGTACGAGCCACCGCTGGTCGAGTCGCAAGACAGAGTCCGCCGGCGGTTGGTCAACGATCACCTCGGCCGAGCGTCAGTATTGGTTCTCCTCATACCTAGCGGGCTGCTCCGGTCGGGTGGGCGTGGTTTCGATGTTGGTCGGGTCTTCTCGCTCCGAACTTCGCTGCGATTTTGTAATGACATGCAGATGAGCAGCAGATACGGAATCCTCAAGACAAAACCTGTGATATGTTACGCGTCGCCTGTGGTATCGCCCGAAATCGGTCCTGATGATTCGTAGTATTATTACTGTGCAGAACGATTCAGCTCACCTCGCATTCCAAACAGCTTAGTGGTGGCCATGAACATGTGTACCGTCCTCTACCAGACATGAGACCGTCCACCTATTCATCCATTCCACCGTGGTACGTGGTCACTGGCACGCGGCCCGCCGCTACGGGTCCCGCTCGTTTGAAGCTGTCCGTGTTCTGCGCAGCATGGCGCGTCTGCTGCCGCCGCTCGGCCTGGTCTGGACGGACGTGACGTCACCGCTGCGCCAGCTGATCGCCGGCTTCCATCTGACGGCGCAGAACGTGACGCTTGGGCCGCACCAGTGGACGCTGGCGGCGCTGGTCCTGCTCAGATAGTACGTGTTTGTGCGCGTGGCGGCAGGCCCGCCTGGTGGTGGGCGGCTGGCTGGTCCGTATGCGCCAATCAGGCGTCAGCGACTGAATGCTGCTCCAGGCGCGCGTTATCGGGAGAAATTGCCTGGTGATGTCTTACAGTGTGTTTGCTTCATGTTCACTGGCCAGCTTGTAAGGCGGTATGGTGCGAAGCAGTGAGGCGGTTGCTGCAACGGCGCGGAGAGACGTATGAGAAGACACCCTTTGGCTCGACTCCTGAACACCTCACCCATGTCTTCGTCCCTGACTTAACCCCTTCTCACCCCACTCGTCCCTCACCCCACTTCACCCGTCACTGGCGTCCCAAGCCGACTTTTGTACCACTTCTCGGTGCCGGTTATCCCCGAACTTTGCCCCGTGTTCGGCAGTCTGCCTTGCCACGTACCGGAGCTTACCGCCGCACTCTCCCTAACTCTGCCCCGTGCTATGCAGTCTGCTGCGCCGCAGGCCCGAGCTCACCGCCGCACTCTCCCTAACTCTGCCCCGTGCTCTGCAGTCTGCTGCGCTGCAGGCCCGAGCTCACCGCCGCACTCTCCCTAACTCTGCCCCGTGCTCTGCAGTCTGCTGCGCTGCAGACCGGAGCTGACCGCCGCCCGCTCCCTAACTCCGCCCCGTGCTCGGCAGTCTGCTGCGCCGCAGGCCGGAACTGGACGCCCTTGCCCGGGACGCGGACGGGGCCTTCGCTTCGGCGCTGCGACCGTTCCAGCTGACACGTACTCGGCTGGATAAGCTGGTGAACCGACTGGAGGCGGCTGTGGCTGTCCCGGTGCCCTGCGACTCAGCCCGATGATGGGGTTCTATTGTGACAGAAGTAAATATATTTTTTCGTGAGATTAGCTTGTTTTGGGGATTTGTGCGTCGGATTCTTCTTTGCATCGTACCGAGACGTATGAATTTTCATTTGAACTGACAGCGAGTTGGACCAGCTGCCTGTCTTTCGGACGGTCGTAGCGACGTGGCGTTTGATCTCAGGCTTTGGCGACGTTGAAACGCGTGTTATTCTGGGGATCTGGTGCCTCTGCTAGCCTGGAGGTGTGCGAAAGGCATGAAACGTGGCGCGAACACTTGCTATCCGTGTTTTGGAGGGAGGATTGCACAAGTATTTCTCTGTATATTTGCTCTTATTTGCTCTCTGTATACCCAGCGTTCGGAGCTGTGCAACGGGATATTCCGAAGCGTTACCGTTGTTGACGTTGTCCAGCAGAGGCATCACTGTAACAGTTTGTATGCTGTGCGCCTGTCCTGCCTGCTATTTAACGTTGGAGTAAGGCATGATATCGCTGGTACCTTCCGCACAATAAAGCACGGATTAGCCACCAGTGAGGTCCGGGATACCACCGGCATAACCCCATGTCCCCGGAGGCATCCGAAACATTGTCCCCGCGATGTCCGGGTCCTGTCTGCGTGGTGAGGGGAGCTGACATGCAGGAGAACGTCTGAGCCGCAGGCTCATGGCTGAAGAATAGCCTTCTTTCCCATGTCGGGATGGCTTTGGTCAAGATGGTCGAGGTTCGCGACCGATCTGGAACAGGTGCTATCGATTTCTTGCTTAGTCTGGGCGGCAATAGACTCTTAATTGCACAAAGACTCACAAGCAAGTCAAAATTGCCTCTTTTGAGAAAATTGGGTCAAGGTCAAGCCAGGCCACTTCATACCTAAGTAACCCTAATTGTTACATTGGCCCATATTTGAAGAACATGTAAGTAGTAAGCTTTCCGGTGCACTTTTTCCAAACATCGCAGTCAGCAAGCTTGTTCGCGGGAGCGAATTGAACGGCGGGGTTGGTGGCAGCGTTGACGGGTATTGACCCTTTAAACGGACGTCTCGGGAACTATCTGGAGGCCTGGGAGCACAAGGTGGCTTTTCAAACCCAAGGCGTGCACTTTTACCCGTTTGGATTGGTGGGACCACCGTCACTCCCGAGCGGCTGGCTGCCAACCTGAGATCAGGGGTGCAGTTTCTCATTCAGGTGGGTGAGCGACCCCCTCCCCTGCTTGGAATTTAACGCCACCAACGTTGAAAAGGTCGGCCAACTCCGAGGAAAAATTCGCTCGTTGCTTAGTCACTGCCTTGCGAAGGCTGTCAGTTTAGTTCCCCGTCCTTTCGCAAGTCACCACATGTGAGAGGACGGGGAACTCCACATCACTCAAAAAAAGCCGTCGATTTCGAGCTTGCAAGCACCAGAATACGCACCACAGCAGGAACTAGCGTTCGTCAAAAAGTCCTGACCTCTCGAGGCTACAATTCAAAGCCAAACTGAGGCTCAGGTGTCGGGAAATTTTGGCGATTTACTCAGCGATCTATTCAGCAACGATTTGCGATTTCCCTGAAAAGCGTCATATTGTCAATAGTGGCACGAGAACATCGGAAATAACGCTTATTTTGCAATATCACGTGACCCAAGGTTTAAGGCATGGTCGAGGAACGGCGAAATCCATAACATCAAAAAAGTGCCGGCCGATTTTAAGTTTGCAAACGTCAGTCTTAACAGCCACAAGGACTAGTGTGCGTCAAAAATCTTGCCCTCTCAAGGTCATCCCCCGAGGTCATATTCGGGCTTAAAGAACGGACAACTCTATATCACTAAAACGTCATCGGCCGATTTCAATTTTTCAAGTAACGCAATGTTAACTGCAGGAACCAGCGTCCGTCAAATAGTTCTAACCTCTTAAGGTCATTTTTCATCGTCAAAGTCAGGCTGAAAGGACGGAAAGCACAACATCACCTAAAAATAACTTGCCCATTTTAACTTTGCGTGCTCCAGAATATTCACTACAGAATGAACTAGCGTTGTTCAAGAGTTCTGACTCATCAGGGTTACCCGTCGAGATCAGACTAAGGCTGAAATGATTAGGTACTCTATATCTTTTAAAAAGGCGATGAATTTCAACTTTTCAAGCATCAGAATGCTTGTCAGCGCATGAGCTAACATCCATTAAAAGTCCTGACCTCTTCAGGTTATCCGTCAAAGTAAAAAAATCGGCTCAAATGCCGGGAAGCTCTCTATCCTCAAAAATTACCGGCCGATTTTAAACTTGCAAGCATCAAACGCTAGTTTTCTTTTTCTTTTCCACGGACGCCAGTTTTTGTGCCTGTGAATCTCCTGGTGCTTGCAAATATCGGCAGATATTTGGGATATAATGTTCCCCGTCCCTTGACCTTGTTTTTGGCTCTGAAGGTTATAATGTGTTGCCAAACAATCGTTATTTTCGATGTTGTCCTTCCGTAATTAATCATATGTTGGAGTTTCAGAGAATCCGCAACTCGTCGCTGAATGGATCGCTGAATAAATTGCCAACTTCACGGACATTACAGCCTTCACGTGTCCTGTGTTGTGATCTTGGCTCAAAAGAAGTCCATCCTATCGTTCAATTGCCTCGTTTTATTTTGCACTGCACATTACAACTCAATATGTATGAGAGCTCCATCTTATTCTACGGAGAAAACACAGGGCAGATATGCTGCTTTCACGCGGCACCGGCTATCACTAAGCACTCCAATTTCCCCCCTTCAACTTCCACTTGGTGTATATGGCCCACCGCTGGTTCGCCGTTCGCCAGGTCAGCAATCTGGGCAGAGACCGCCAGGTGACTGGCGTCTGCCGCTGGCGGTGGGCCGCCTCGCCGCGCGTCCGCCGGACCGGACCGCGTCGCCTGGGGCCGGTCGCCGCCAGCCGCCGGAGCCGGCCGAGGCCGGCTGCGTTGCGCCGCGGGACTTCCAGCACGCAAATCCACGCCCCGCGGCCAGGACAGCAGCCCACTAGCTGTACTCTATGAAGCCCATCGACGTCAGGTGCTCGGGCAGGAACGAGTTCATGTCGGGGTACGTGATCCAGGCGGGGTCGGACGGCCATTCCCAGTCGGTCGGGTCCATCATCATGTCGCCCTCTGGCTCCCAGTCGCTCGGATCGCCAAACTCCAGCGGCATCAGGAAGTCGGCCAGCGGGTAGCCGAAGTCGTCCATGATCTGCGGCCGGCCCAGCGCCTGGTTAGAACGGCGGCGCCCCGCTCCGCCGCCCGGTTAGAGCGGCACCGCCCCGCTCCGCCGCCCGGTTAGAGCGGCACCGCCCCGCTCCGCCGCCCGGTTAGAGCGGCACCGCCCCGCTCCGTCGCCCGGTTAGAGCGGCACCGCCCCGCTCCGTCGCCCGGTTAGAGCGGCACCGCCCCGCTCCGCCGCCCGGTTAGAGCGGCACCGCCCCGCTCCGTCGCTCCGCCGCCCCACCGGCTGGACGGGGCGGGGCGGTGACTCGGCTACGCCGGACTCGCCATCGGCGGCAGATCCGGGGGACGGGCGCAGTCTCGGACAGGGGTACTGCTCGTGCTGACGGAAGGGCTGGTTGATGGCGTGTGCTGTGGGCACTTACTGGCAGAGTGTGCTTAGGAAGTCTTGTTTAGGCCGCGAGTCTGGCATGCTGCTATCTGATGCGGCTCAAATGATAAATCGGCACCTTTGGCAGTCTACAGAATTATTAAAACAAACTAGGCTTCAGTAAAGATGCTCCCAACCAATAAGACCACAACAGGCTAAGGAAAACGTGCTGCTCGAGAGGACCCAACGACTTTATCAGCTTATGAGTCGTTGTATACTTTCTGTCTCCGGCAATTTATGGCCAGGCACTCAGGAATGACTCCAGAGGGTACGTATCAAGGGTATGCATCGAGGGTGTATATCGAGGGTATAAATCGAGGGTGTGTATCGATAATATGAATCGATGGTATATATCGCGGGGGGGTATCCAGAGTATATATCAAACGTATACATCGAAGGAATGGCATAGGTGTAATGAAACCCAAGTGACGCCACGCATCTGTTAGAGCAATGATGTTCGTTAGCAGATTCAACCCTCACAGTCGCATCACTAATGCTGCAGCACGGCAACCCATCTCTGCAGCTGCAGCAACCCATCTCCTTCAGCAAAGTGGTGACCGGGCCGGCTTGGTCCCGGAATTCAAAACCCGCCTGGCTAGCAACGTCACGGGTAGCTGGGTAGCATTCCCTCCAACGAAGGTGCCCTTAGTTGGCTCCAGCACACCGGCCGTGACCAACTGGCGCCGTTCTGATGCGGGCGGGTGCCGTGCCGGCATTGCTTGCGCGTGGTGCGTGGCCCGTGTCCTCTGTCACCCTTTGGTTGTACCCTCCCCCCTCACTATGCGCTCACTTAACAACAGCACGCTTCCCGTGTATCCAGCCGCCATCGGCAGGTGGCCGTCGCACCCTCGCTCACCATCGGCAGGTGACCACCGTATCCTCGCTCATCATCGGCAGGTGGCCATTGCACCCTCGCTCACCATCGGCAGGTGGCCATCCCGCCCTCGCTCACCATCGGCAGGTGGGCATCGCACCCTCGCTCACCATCGGCAGGTGGCCATCGCATCCTCGCTCACCATCAGCAGGTGGCCATTGCACCCTCGCTCACCATCGGCAGGTGGCCATCGCACCCTCACTCACCATCGGCAGATGGCCCTCGCGCCCTTACTCGCCATCGGCAGGTGGCCCTTGCGCCCTCACTCACCATCGGCACGTCATCCCAGGGCCAGTCAACGATGATCCAGTCGGCAGATTCGGGCGGCGGTTCCAGTACGTCGATGTAAATAACATTGAAGAGATATGACGGAGGGTCGATGTTGGATGGCGGCCAGCTGTGGTCCTCGGGCGGCAGGTCCACGAACGTTATATCCAGCCCTGCGGCACAGGTTGGTGTCGGCCGTTTCGGGATGCGTGGGGGGCGTCGCCAGTGTCCGGGTCACTCAGCGTCCTGTCCCACCGCAGAGTGGGTGAAAGGTCAGCGCAATGGCGGAGAGATGCTGCCCATGCAAGATTAGATCACCCTTGGCGACCAAAACGGAGATAAGACGATGCTGATGTATTGAAACAGGCACATAGTTTGGGCAGCCACCTCTTTCCCGCCTTTCGGGACCTCAGCATGACGCTGCGCCTCCGGCTCGGGTCACGCAGATGCGTGAGTCCAACGAACGGCGTGGCCCATACTCACAGTCTGCAGGCAAGTCTTCGACCGGCGGGTAGGCGAAGGTGTAGTCAAAGTTATCGTCGAACGGTGGCACTGGAAATGGGCAGACAAGGTTAGCTGGCGCAGCCTGGTCGTCGAATCTCCACCCATCTCCCCCGATGGTGCAGGGACCGGGTCGTCTGAGAGGCGGCTATGGTCGGTGGAGCACGACTGGAACCTCTGGAAATGAAGCTTGGAGGGACAAATAACCGTTGCAGGTTCTGCCTTTGCTCAAGTCTTCGTTGGCTGATTTTTTATTGCGCCCTCGTTGAGCAAATGAATGTTCCCATTTTCATGATGGGAACTGAGAGTATCTACAAAAGAAGCAATGGGTAAATAAGACGTGCTGTGCCACCCACCGCTGGCAGTCTCTTGGGGACAAGTACTGCCCTGCACAGAGCCAGCTTATGGCGCCCCCTGAGCCAAATAAGGGCACTTTTGGAAATAGATGATGGACACGACGACGATACGATAGAAACATACTCAAGACAGTGGCTGGCGCGGACAAACGTGCCACCATCTGAGGCTCCTGCCATCCTGGTCGCCATCTCTTTTTACATTGTTATCTTTCTACCTTTTTCCTCGTTCGCATTACATTCACACACGGATTGTACGTTGACTTAATCAACATTATTTTCCGTGAAGTTGAACCGGTTACTTACGGAAAGTTTCTGGGGCTTTTTCAGAGAAGTCATCTGCAACAAACAAAGCACAGGCATGAGAATGACATGCATAGAAAAGTAAAATACACAGGCACCCAGGGACGTATCCAAAAAGGATGTCACAGGGGCCAGCGGCCCTTCCAGGGACAAGCACTCTGCGCCAGATAGTGCACAGTTTCGCAAAAAAAGAAATAGCCGGGATCTGAACAAATTCGACATTTGGTCTCTTCCTGAGAGAAATTCTGCCGACATAACGCAGCTATCACATTTCACTCGTAGAAAGTAAAAAGGCGCAATATTGCACCACCCACCACTACCCACCGACTGCGCGATGCTACACCACTTAACACCACAGCGTGTTTTTCTTGCGAAAATGTGTGTTGCATATAACTGAAGATACGGAACCACTCAATGGATCAAAAGATGACTGAGGATGAGCGTCTTGGATTAACGCAACTTTTTAGATGGGTTTTAACAGGGTACTGTGGTTGTTTGTTTGAGCCTAGCCCATCTGGTCCGACCACGACCAATTTGGTTCAAGCTTGGCCCATGTGGTCCGATCCCGACCCATCTGGCCTGGCCCCACCCATCTGGTCCGGCCCGGCTAATCTAGTCCGACCCGGCCCGTCTGGTCCGACCCGGGTAATCTAGTCCGACCTGGCCCGTCTGGTCCGACCCCGCTCATTTAGTCCGACCCGGCCCATCTGGCCTGGCCCCCAGCCCATCTGCTCCCATCCCGGTTCATTCTCCAAGCGCTTCGGCTGTTTCGTTTCCGCCGCGTACGCACTCCCACACGTCGCGCCTCGGCGACAGGCCGTCGGTTGGCTCGATGCCGTACTCACCGGGCAGCCCGGGAGGAGGTCCGCCGGGCATGCCCTGCGACCGACTGCTCGGGGGCTGACCTGAAACATACCGGAGCATATGTGACGTCACACCGTCCTCCGTCCGAGGCCCCTGGCGGGAATGCGACTTCGGGCGTCCGCAAGCGACCGTCAACAGGGGCGTGAAGGTGATTGGCAAAATCAGGATGTTCTGTTGATGTAATTCAGCTCGAGATATCAGGCAGTAGTGAAAATAAATCATATGTCTGCGGGAGCAACGTCTTATGAGCACCACTCTTGAGCACCACTTACGAGCAAAAAGGTTGTCACCACTCAAAAATGACGCTACTTTATTTTGCTGTTACTGTTGTGATGTCTAAATTGTTTCCTGTCAGACTTCAAACCAAGATAAACGAGACTGCACAAACGCCGCATCAAAATCGTGGCATTTTAACACGCGCTCGGGTGGGGGTCAAAGTGCCCCCTCCTCCCGAAAGTTTTTTTCCGGAATGGTTTCCGAACGGCACGGTGTGGTAACACCAAAATTTCATATCTGTAGACAACTGAATAGCGGATTGTCTGACATCAACAATTTGGATGTATTTTGTAAGATCGCTAACCTACGGTAGGTCAAAGTCAGGCCTTGGTTTCAGCGAGGGCAGTTTTTAAGGGATCGTTCAATCTGATCAAACAACGGAGTGTTAGACGAAGCCATACATCTCTGAGATACTTTTTTAGGTAACATAAGAATAAAATGAGCAAACTGCATTGACCTTTCAGTTATGGTCAGGTATGAAGGTCAGACCAAGGTCAAAATCAACCTGTTTTATTGCTCTAGGGTTTGCTGAATGGGGTATTTTCTGGCGCTCATTTCGAATTTATTGATAACAGGAACTGCATTATACACCTTCCATGGACTTCTTAAATGTCATTATAGGCCACTGTCCTAAAACGACCCAGGTCAACGTTCTGCTTTCAGGAACATACTGCCTAACGCAATCTTATTCGCTTATTCAAATGCAAAACTCATTGCAGACCTGTATTATTTTGGTCACCATGACCTTCAAAAGGTCAAACGTCACGTACCTTAAATGGGTATGTCACATTTTGCTCAGAATAGTTATCTAGGTTCTAGGGACTTTGGGGACAAGCCTGGAATTTAACCTAGTTTGACTCCCATTTGACCGGAAAGTCATGACCTAGGAGCCTCAAACTTTGGCCTAAGTGAGTTATCATACAGGTTAACACACACTTGACCTCAGAGGGGTCAAATTAACCCCCCAACCCGAGGGAAGAATATCCAGCCGACCACCCGGGCGCGTGTTAACGTCTGGGTTTTTGGGCCTTATGAAGTTGAACACAGGTGCTGGAAAAGATAGTGGCATTTTACGGACTACGGAAATAGTTCAGCACCATGCTGCTGGAGACTGAACACAAATGTTGGAATCAATATTGGAGCATTTTACCGACTCTAGTAAAAGTTCACCTCAACTGTGCAAAAAGCTTGAAATTAGAGAGGGATCTCAAATGTCTGTACATAGCGAAAACTTCGTGCATTACGCGTAATTATAGGCCATTGGCTTCGTGACCACGGAGACCAGTGTTCTCCAGATACCGACTCACTCTCCCATGGAGTGTTCGGCGGAGCGCGTATGACATTGAAAACGGGCACTTGATGTGTTCTTAGAGGTAGTAGACTCTACGCATTTCACCTCGCCCCGGGCGGCTCATGTCATCAGGTCACACAACATATATACATAGCGATGTTAGGTGGAAGCACTGCATTCGATTGTATCGTTAGGACAGTTTTCGGTAACTATATGACTCGGAAAGAGCTCGACGAAAAACAGCATCTCGATGGTTCCCCTGGGAAGAGGGAAGTTCGCTGTCAAATTCCTTGTGCGCGCTGAAATAGCCTACCTAAAGGCAGAAAGACTTTGCACGGCGCCAGGTGAACGTTCTCATTTGTTATAATGTGGATGACGCCAAAACTAAGCTAATTGAGCCAGACACCTTCGCAGTTGTTAACACCGAGTTTGGTCAATCATCAGTACGGTAAAGAACGTCCATTTCATGATCATTTTACGGGTGGAGGTTCAACTGATACACGCAGAGTTGCAGGCATGGAAAGCTCCTAAGAAAAGTGTGAACTCGTATTTGAATATCGTGAATTAAACCGCACCGTTCAAGGTGAGTTTGATGCAACCTTCCCTCGGCATGAGCATGAAACACATTAAAATGACGAGTGTTGATGCGCCGAGGCTTGGGATAGCCAACCAGATATTTATCTAACCCTGCATGAACTATTTACCCCAAATGTTGAAAAATCGCAAAATTACGAGGGCGCATGACACTCGAGGGTACGTGATTAGAAATCATAGAATGATCGAGTTTGTTATTGTTTTAGGCAGGGTGCGGTGAGAGTTTCAAAATCCACGACGTCAAATGAAAATGTCGTCAATAGCTCCCCGCCGGCTAAGAGAGGCATCGAAGGGCTGACCAAAGCCGGCGAGACACCGCCTCCAAAATTTCCCCATGGATGCGAAATCGACTCGCCCAAACGATCATGACGTCAGAGGCTGAGCCGTTCAGCCAATCATCGAACTCTCATAGCTTCCCAGTGCTGTAAAGAAATGTCGTGCTCCCCCCCCCCCCCCCCTCCGCCCAGTCCACGTACCAAATTGATGGCATGTATCGAGCTAAAAATTCCAGGAAGACACATAAAGATAAGAAAATGGAAAACATACAATGCTAGATTGCGACGCCTGAAGAAATTTCGCTCGCATGCAACGCGCTTGACTCCGTGAAAAATTTTGAGTCGCCTCCCCCTCCTCTATTGTGCAATCTTGCGTACATCCATGACTTGCTCTGATTCTGTTCAGATTTATAAAATTGCAATTGTCGACATCCATGAGCACAGCAGGTTTGCGATCTTGACAACTGTGATCAAGGCAGCGGGAACTATGTTCAAGATGGGGAACTCTAAAATGTCAAAACTGCTTCGCTAAGATTAGATAGCGGGACCCCTACAACTCAAAATGGCCCTATTACACAGGCTAGAATGCGCTCTGCAGTCAATGACGGACCCCTGTAGGTCAAAATGGGACCTCTTCAGTCCGGAATGGGCTCTCTACATGGCAGAATGGGACCACTGTTGTTAATATGAACCCCCGAAAAGCCAGAATGGGCCAGCCAGACCAGCTAGACTCGTGTGCCGATTCTCGAAATGTGTTGAAGCAAACGCAGCCATTTCAAGTCGCAGAAGCGTCCTGTTGTCATGCAACATAAATGCGATTGTCGCATAAGCAGCCTCATTAACTCAGCACTGCCAGATCCGCGGCCTTAGTACACCATTACCCATTTTGAGTCCATTTATCGGTCAAACATTCTGTTAATCCGATCTTGAACCAAAGGATTTCAGAAATATGTTACCACACACTGAATACTGGGCACCGCCGGTGATTCATACGTACACTGAGCAAAATACACCGCGCAAATAACGACTGGCATGGATTATCTCTTACCAGGCGCGGTTGTACGGCTAGGCTTGGCTAGGCTGGCTAAGTCGTTGTTGTTCGGATCGTGGATCAAAGCCATAATATCTGATCTGGTCCACAGGTCAGAAGCAGAACGTTATGGTCCCAAAGAATGCATCCAAAAGAGTGGCGGCTCTCAGGACTCACAACCCACAAAACGCATGCCTAGGAAAAGAACATTACCCAAAGGTCTTATAATGCATTGAAATAAGCCCTACAATGGGCCGGATGTTTTACCTTTACTGCCTGCTGATGGTGAGGGCCGAGAAAGAAAGAAAAGAGGAAAGAAAAGGACACTGGCCCAGACCAAGCCGGAAAGATGAAACGTCTGTCCCGCTTTTTGGCTTTGTTTTAATGCATCATGAGACCCTTCTGAGCATCGTTTTGTATGCAATCATAAACTCCAGTCTTAGCTTTGAGCTCAGCTGAGACGCATGGCTTGAAGTATACCCAACTATAAGTGGATGTATTATCATCCTGCCATGCAAAAGACGGTCTGCCGTATCCGTCCTTACCGGGCTTCGGCGGGCCTCCTGGCATTCCCTGCGACCTCGACTGGCCTGAAATGGACAGTGGATGATGATGTGCTGATTTACTTGACAAGCAACATCCGATGTTCTGTACTTTTTGGGTCTATTTGAACAAATATGACACGCTAGATAATTATCTTTACAGTCATGAGCTCGGGTCTTAGCTCTGCGCTCAATGGAAACGCATGGCGTGAAATATCCTTAAATGTAACTGGATGCATTATCATCCTGCCATACAAAAGACGGTCTGCCGTATCCGTCCTTACCGGGCTTCGGCGGGCCTCCTGGCATTCCCTGCGACCTCGACTGGCCTGAAATGGACAGTGGATGATGATGTGCTGATTTACTTGACAAGCAACATCCGATGTTCTGTACTTTTTGGGTCTATTTGAATAAATATGACACGCTAGATAATTATTTATTTACAGTCATGAGCTCGGGTCTTAGCTCTGCGCTCAATCGAAACGCATGGCGAGAAATATCCTTAAATGTAACTGGATGCATTGCCATCCTGCCATGCAGAACACGGCCTGCCCGCCGTATCCGTCCTTACCGGGCACCGGCGGCGGGCCTCCTGGCATTCCCTGCGACCTTGATCCTGAAATGGACCGTAGACGATTGTGATGCATTGTTTTAGTTGATATGTAGCCAGGGGCGTCGCAGCAGGTGCGGATAACGAGAGTAGCCCCCTCCCCTTCTGCCGGCAGGCGGACGGGGCAGAAGTATGTTTGTGCTCCATTAAAATTTTTCGGAGACACATTTCCCCAGACTACAGACATTGTAGCTACCCGTAGATTACCGCTATTCTGATCAAGGAGGCTCCACAATTCAGCTAGCGAGCAATACATATGGCTCAGAAGACTCTTTTCTACATCAAGGGGCCGTTTTTGGATCATGAGGACACTGTTATTAATAAGGTAGCCCACGCTCTATATTAGTAGATTCAATGTCATGTTAAGAATGTCCTTAATTGGCTCTGGAGGCCGCCGTTACAAACTACGAATTCCTGTTCCGTGTTAGAGAGTACTCTCAGGTCCCATTTTTGAACAGCACGCCCACTTTTGGAACACGAGACCATTTTATGCATCAGCTGGCCGCGGTTCCGGATAAGGATGCCCAGTTTTTGGAGTACGGCCCCTTGGCTAGATTCGGAGGCTGGATCATGAATGGGAACCATCCAGTTTTGGAATAAAAGGACTTGGAGGCCCTTTTTGGGAACAGGAGATCTTGTGTTATGAAAGAGATTCTTTACTGGATAATCAGGAGGTCTATTCTGGATATTACTTGGATATGATACATGTAACAATTTCAGAGGACACATACACTCGGTGCCCTTCCCGTTGAATGCGGCACTGTTCAGAAGGCTCCTGGAAATAGTGGCCCCACTCCAACTCAAAATTTGCGGCGCCGCCCCTGCACGCAGTATCGCATGGTATCCAATGTCCCACTTTCTGGCTTTATTCGAGCATATCATGAGACTCTTCTGAGCATTATTTTGTATGCAACTACGAACACTAGTATCAGCTTTGCGCTCACTCGAGACGCATGGCTTGAAGCATCCCTAACTATAAGTGGACGCTTTATCAACCTGCCATACCAAAGACGGTCTGCCGTATCCGTCCTTACCGGGCTTCGGCGGCGGGCCTCCTGGCATTCCCTGCGACCTCGACTGGCCTGAAATGGACAGTGGATGATAATGCTGTACTGTTTTACTTGGATGTACTGTTTTACTTTACTATACTTACTTACAGAACAACATCCGATGTGCTGCACTTTTTGGGTTCTATTTGGATATACCATCAGACTTTTGATCATTATTTGTTTACAATCATGAACTTGAGTCTCAGCTTTGCGCTCAATTGAAACGCATGGGTTGAAGCATTTCTAACTATAAGTGGAAGCATTATCATCCTGCCATACCAAAGACGGCCTGCCGTATTCGTCCTTACCGGGCTTCGGCGGCGGGCCTCCTGGCATTCCCTGCGACCTTGATTGCCCTGAAATGGATCGCAGATGATGATGTGCTGTTTTATTTGATGTGAAGTCAAGATCAGCGCAGTAAAGGAGGGAGGGAGCAGTTCTACCCGTAGATAATCCAACTTCAGATAAATAATTCTCTAAAACTCAGCTAGAGACCAATGAACATGGCACAGAATGCCCTTTCCTACATTAAAAGGAACAATATCTGGATCGTGAGCTATTTTTGTAAATAAAGTAGCTCGTGCTCTATAAAATAAATACAAGATTAAGTTAATGTGTGTTAATTAGCACGGAAAGCCCCCGCTACGAACAGGAAGTCCTGCTTTGGGCTAGGAGGCACTCTCTACAGTCAGCAGGCCCCATTTTTGGAACAGGAGACCCTTTCATGCATCAGATGGTCACGGTTCCAGATCAGGATGCCCTGTTAGAGGATAACAGCCATATGGCTAGATTTGGAGGCCCTATCGTGAATCGAAAGCATCTGGTTCTGGAACAAAAAGGTCAGATGTGCGTCAGAAGGCCCTTTTCTAGGACAAGAGACCTTGTGCTAGGAAAGCGAGGCATTTTGCCGGATAATCAGAAGGCCTCCGTTTTAATATCACTCGGCTATGATGCATGTAGCAATTTGACAAACGGCACATGTCCTCGATGTCCCTCCCCGTTTAGTGCGACACTGCATGAGTGCTCCATTGTGTCCCGGATCCCCCCCCCCCCCCCCCCTCCTCCTGGAAAATCGTACCTACCCTTCAGCTCGAAATTTGTAGCGCCGGCCCTGCATGTATCGTTCAGTGTCCTGTTTTTGGCTCTATTTTAAAACATCATGCAGTATCTGAGGATGTTTTGTATATAGCTATGAGCTCTAGTCTTAGCTTTGCGCTAGTCCTAGTCGAGACCAATGGCCTAACTGTAAGTGGATGCATTATCATCCTGCCATGCAAAAAACGGTCTGCCGTATCCGTCCTTACCGCCTGGCTTCGGCGGCGGGCCTCCTGGCATTCCCTGCGACCTCGACTGGCCTGAAATAAACAGTGGATGATGACGATGTGCTGTTTAATTTGACATGGAGCGCCCGATGTCATGTCTGAACATGTCTGGCTACTGGAAGTAGCTCGATGTATGGTTAGCTTGATGGAACAAATAGGCGGCCCAGTTATGAGGATTCGGTGCGGTCGTGTAGGTGTGGAAGTGAAATTTGCATGCATCATTTTTGGTTTGCACAGGCCAAACCACTTCACGTTGATATTCACCAGCTCAGGACCACGTGACTTAGGAGAAAAGTAAAAAATAGGGTAGCACTTTGTGGTTGCAACCCAAACCGAATCTAGCCCCGCACATTGACCTTAAGTCCAAGGTACGCACAGACATAGAAGCCCCCGAGAGCGTATGTCCCTCCCTCCCATCCAATGATTAATATGTGACTTAGTCTTGACAAATAAAATTGATAAGCAGGCATGTATAAATAAGAAAATTGGGAACATGTGATGTGGTTTTACAGCATGTGAGGCGTTGTGCGCGCCTGCGGCGTGATAAACTCGGTTTTCAGCGTATTTTTTTAGTTGCCTCACCCGCTGCGAAATGTTGCGTACACCCCCGCTTCGTCTGATTAAATAAGTGCGCCTTGACGAAGACAGAATGACATGAAAAAGAGGCAGAACGAATGTTACGTGAATGTTCTGGATTGATTCTTGGTGGCAGAAACAAGACGTACCAAGACTCAGTTGTGGTGAAATGTATGGCCCACGTGAGGGGAAAACTGTGCTACCGGATCGCGTTCAGGAGGCAAACAGCTCTCGCAGGGCTTTGGCCTGGCCCCGACCCTCACATATATATATATATATATATATATATATATATGTATATATATATACATATATATATGAGGGTCGGGGATATATATATATATATATATATATATATATAATATAATATATACATATCTCTCTCCCTCTCTCTCTCTCTCTCTCTCTCTCTCTCTCTCTCTCTCTCTCTCTCTCTCTCTCTCTCTCTCTCTCTCTCTCTCTCTCTCTCTCTCTCTCTCTCTCTCTCTCTCTCTCTCTCTCTCTCCCTCTCTCTCTCTCTCTCTCTCTCTCTCTCTCTCTCTCTCTCTCTCTCTCTCTCTCTCTCTCATATGACCTCATATGACCTCGGTGGCCACGACAGCAAATTCCATTGAGCTCTTGGATGCGATACGCAGCTCTTTTTACTAGGCAGGGACTTTGGTGGCGGGCCTTCAAGCACCATTTGCGACCTTGGCTTACGCGAAATATATAATGTTACCAGTGCTGTGTGGAATTTGATTGAACGCAAAGCCATGGGTTGACATCGTGATTATGGAGGGAACAATGGCCATATGTAGCATGGTATATATTGAAATAGGCAAAAGGATGAAATAATCATTTCACCGTCACAGCCTAATTAGTGGCAGCCTTTAGGGTAATCATAAAAACCAGCACTGAGAAATTAGAAACGGCGAAACGTTTGACCTGTTTTTTTCCCATTCTAATGTTTATCTACCACGAGACATATGGCTAATGTTCCTGTTATGTTAGCGTTATGTCGTATGAATTATCCACACTTAAACATTATCGTCTTGTTGCTCGTGGTAGTGCGGGTAGCTCTCCTGGCGGAAAGAAGATGGCCACGATTTAAAAACTCCATGGACAAAAATTGTTTGTGCTAACGTTGTAGCATATCAGCGGCTGGTAGACAGGAAGGCTTGCTGAAGATGATGTCTACTGGCACAATCTACTGTAAATATTGCTTTGTAAATGCACATGTCTGTGTATGCGAAGATCTAAGGGGAATCTAGAAAGCAAGCTTTACCCGTCGCCGGCGGGACTTCCTTCAATGCCTGAGATCCCAGAGCCGCGACTGAAAAATTGCATGGCATGCGGCTCACAGTCATTAAAGATTTTCTTCAAGTGTACACAGTTTTATGCAAAGGAACAGGATGTTATACGAGGCAACAAGCTGACTAAGCCACGACCAAGAACTATCAACGTTTTGTTAGGTGTGACCACTGAGTGGTGCTGCTGTTCTGGATAGAGGATAAAAGAAACGTAGCAACGACAAACGGATGGCTTATCACTTTCCTGAGACGCGATCAAAAAGGGGAGGCTGGCACGCTACCTTTGTGACAGTATGGCAGCACGCATGCTCACAGCAATGGGCACTGAATACTTAAAAACCCTTGCAACGTGATCCATATGCCACACTTGAAAAATTACCTGGTATTTTCGTCTTAACTGCCCCTGATTTCCCGTCAACGCCTACCGACACCACCCTCAGCAGCAGGTCACAACATTATGTTCTCCTACTCATTCCCCGATGCGTCTTCCGTCAGCGTTCCCGGCGCGCACAGTGACAGTGCACACCATGAGGAGCACTCTTACCGGACGGGGATGGCTGAGCGGCTGCCGTACCTGCGGGGCAAGCGCACTCGTCAGCGGTCGGTGGCTAGTTGGTCACCGTGAGAGGTTCGGTTCACAGACCGACGTCCGCACACGGCGGCTCGGCTCTTGCGCATGTAGTGCGGCAGAGTGGTCTGTTTTCACATAGCAGCGAGTACTTATCAAACGTGGCGTGAATCATCGCCTTAGGTCAGCAGGTGCTAGCAGAGAGGGCATACATGGTATTTAGCAGAAATCGTGAGGCGGGTTTTGTCGCCACAGAGGGCATGGCATGGTCACCTCGCGCGTAATATGTCGTTACTATCATAAATGATCGGCAAATACTACGCAATCCAACGGAATGATGCGGCCGCATTACAGAAATCCAATCCGATAGCCGCCAAACATGTCAAAAAATTTAAAGACTTACAGCAAGAGCTTTTCTTCAAGCTCGATTTTAACTGAACCGTCCATTTTGCTCCGCTGCAGGGAACAGTCGGCAAGCCCTTGATCTTGACGTTGAAGCAGTTGCACTGCTTGCTGAAAATGGGCAGATCGTATCACGTGGTTGCAAACGGTGAAACAATTATCACAAAACATGTCTTCGAATGCATGTTATCACAAAACATGTCTTCGAATGGACTTTATCACAAAACATGTCTTCAAATGCATTTTATCACAAAACATGTCTTCGAATGCATTTTATCACAGAACATGTCTTCGAATGCATTTTATCACAAAACGCAAACAGCTTGATTGCATATTTATTTGTCGAATTGGTTGAGGACAGCACTGTGGTATGTAAAATGCATTGTTTTAGCTTTGCGTGTACCTACGAGATACTTTGGTGGGACTATGCTACCATTTTGTACGTACTACGAATATGCTGCGATGCCAACAATTAAGGCTTCACGTTTCACCGACTGGCAGGGTCATTTCAAACAAGGATGCCTTCATTAGGTGTCATGTGGGTTGTGATGGTGGTGTGGCCGGCACCTGAGCCCAAGACCGCAAAGTCTAGAGACAAGCACGAACTACTACACCACCATCGCTTTGAATATGCTACTAACGTGCAGGATAAATAAACGGCGGATCGCGACAGAAGAGACCGAAATTATGTAACAAAAAATCACAGAAGATGTGCAGATTGGTCATTCTAATTTTCTCCGCAGGTTTTGCCCATATTCTGGTACTACTTTTAGGCCTTACCCTCTTTTTCCTCGCTAGTTTAGATAGCATTTAAGTGCATATAGGCCGGATCAACAAAATCATTGAATATGCTTGCAGTATACTGCTCAGCGTCGGCGAAAACGCTTCTCTTTTCAAGATGTAAACAAAGGTGATCCGATGCTATTTCATCCGATGCTATTTCGTCAAGATATGACCTGACCTGAGGTCATTCATCATCACTGCTGATCCCGTCCCGGTGGCCAGTGGCAGCGGTCGCGTTGAAGGTCAGTTGACGTCAAAGGGCAGGACGGACCGTGCCGAGCATTGCGGCACGTTAGGCTTTCGCCAGCAAATTCTGCCGTTGACATGGAATTGCGCGATCGGGTGAAAGGGGCCAGGGCTCACACAACAAGCACTGCTTAGCGTGAGCTCTGATCCCAGAAATCCATGTATTCAAAGTTTCGGATAAAATCTTCAACAAATTCCTTGTTAGCAGACCGCACGGCACGCCTGGAATGGAGGGCTTCTCCCGGGAACCTTCCGTCACCAGTCGGCCTCTCACGAGGCCATCTCTTGTCCTGACGGAAACTCACTGCTCTGTTCAGATCGCCCTGGCCCTGTCAATAACTCACTGCTCTGTTCAGATCTCCCTGGCCCTGTCAATAACTCGCCGCTCTGTGCAGATCGCCCTGGCCCTGTCAATAACTCACTGTTCTGTTCAGATCGCCCTGGCCCTGTCAGAAACTCGCCGCTCTGTGCAGATCGCCCTGTCCCTGTCGGAAACTCACGATGCAGCGACCCATCCTGCAAAATAGTAGCCCTTCTTGTAGCACTTGCAATAGCAATCCGCGTTGGACTTCGCTCCGGCTATCTTGATATTCTGCTTTGGCACTCGTACCGAGGAGTAGCACTTCTGTCCTCCTGTGCACTGGCTGATCGCTGTCGGAGGGGGGGGGGGGGGGGGTCACTCGCGGGAAACGACCAGCACGTGTACCGGCTGAACATTTAGCATCCCCACGCCAATTGCTGTGCACTGGCTGATCGCTGTCGGAGGGGGTCGCGGCGGTCACTCGCGGGAAACGACCAGCACGTGTACCGGCCGAACATTCAGCATCCCCACGCTAATTGCTCAGTAATTACGCTTTCTGGGCAAAAGTCACACTAACTGCTCAGCAGTTACGGTGAAGTACTCAATAGGCACGCTATTTGCTCAGTGGTTACGTGAAGCACTCAATAGACAAGCTAATTGCTCAGTGGTTACCTTGGTTTCAAATAATTACGACAGTTGTTCTGTGGTTAAGTCAATTGCTTAGTAGTTACATTAACTGTTAAAAAGGTACGCTAATCGCTCAATAGTTACACTGATTGCTCAGAAACTACATTAATTGCTAAAAAGGTACGCTAAGTGATCAGTAGCTATGCTAATTGTCCATAAGTTACACGAATTGCTCATTAGTTACATTAATTCCTTATTAGTCACACTAATTGCTCAGTAACTACGTTAATTGCTCAGCAGTTGCATCAATTGCTAAATAGTTCCGTTAATTGTTCGGTAGGTACACTAATTGCTCAGCAGTTGCATTCAATTGCTAAATAGTTCCGTTACTTGTTCGGTAGGTACACTAATTGCTCAGCAGTTGCATCAATTGCTAATAGTTCCGTTAATGCTCGGTAGTACACTAACTGCTCAGCAGTTGCATCAATTGCTAAATAGTTCCGTTAATTGTTCGGTAGGTACACTAATTGCTCAGCAGTTGCACTCAATTGCTAAATAGTTTCGTTAATTGTTCGGTAGGTACACTAATTGCTCAGCAGTTTGCATCAATTGCTAAATAGTTCGTTATTGTTCGGTAGGTTCCACCTATTGCTCAGCAGTTGCATCAATTGCTAATAGTTCCGTTAATTGTTCGGTAGGTACACTAATTGCTCAGCAGTTGCATCAATTGCTAATAGTTCCGTTAATTGTTCGGTAGGTACACTAATTGCTCAGCAGTTGCATCAATTGCTAAAAGTTCCGTTAATTGCTCGGTAGGTACACTAACTGCTCAGCAGTTGCATCAATTGCTAAATAGTTCCGTAATTGTTCGGTAGGTACAATAATTGCTCAGCAGTTGCATCAATTGCTTAAATAGTTCCGTTAATTGCTCGGTAGGTACCCTAACTGCTCAGCAGTTGCATCAATTGACTAATCGTTCCGTTAATTGTTCGGTAGGTACACTAATTGCTCAGCAGTTGCATCCAATTGCTAAATAGTTCCGTTATTGTTCGGTAGGTACACTAACTGCTCAGCAGTTGCATCAATTGCCTTAATAGTTCCGTTAATTGTTCGGTAGGTACACTAATTGCTCAGCAGTTGCATCAATTGCTAAATAGTTCCGTTAATTGTTCGGTAGGTACACTAACTGCTCAGCAGTTGCATCAATTGCTAAATAGTTCCGTTAATTGTTCGGTAGGTACACCTAATTGCTCAGCAGTTGCATCAATTGCTAAATAGTTCCGTTAATTGTTCGGTAGGTACACTAATTGCTCAGTAGTAGCCCGCTGGCTGTGAGGAGATGTACGCACATAAAAGCGGTTTTTTTCCATGTTATTTGCCAAGCGAGTTAGTTGCGTCAGCGTCATTGAGCAAAAAAACATATGACCAACAGCTGGTAACTGTATCCACGCACAGGCGCAGTCTTATTGCGACACTTGCAAAACGCTCGAGAATCACATTGTTGTTAATGGTTCAGCCAGGGGTGTAGCTTTGTGCATTTCGGGGGGCCTGGGCCCCCCTCCAAGGGTGACCTGAGCCCCCTCAATTCTCTTTTAGCCCCCCCCCCCTCCCAAGCAATGCAAATCAGTAAGAAAGAGAATGCTGGGCCAATGCAATGTTGCATGCGTCTGAACTATTGGCACACTAGGTCCAAACCCATCACTGTCTATAGTATGGACACCTCAAATTGGCATTGTCAATACTACATCAGCCTCAAACGGGAGGCCATTCCCTACATTCAATTTCTGAACCGACCAGGCATTTCTGTTTTAATTTCAATTTCGACATCAGAGACGCAACTCAAAGCGGCCAAAATCTATACAGAAAGCAGGATTTGATGGAAGGCTAGGTCAGCTTCATTGTCCCAGCCCCAACCGATTCTAAAAAGCAAAATTCCTGTGTTTAACGCCGTCTTATTTGTCAGTAGTGTACTAATTTATGCAGTCATACACATCAACCATAATTTTGAGTGTTTCAATGAATCGGCGCCACGTCCCAAGTGTGAGGTATTAAAGTGAAGTATCGGAAACATAAACCATAGTTTTGAGTGTTTCAAACAACTGGCGACCGATCCCAATAGTCAGGTGACCCCTGGCGCGGGACTGCCAAAGTGCTGAGTACCATCCTTCTGTATGTGATGCCAAAACAGAAGCAACAGAGCCCTTGGAAACACACCCAAGTGGGCCCTTTCAACGCACCGAAATATATTGTTTAGGATTGAAACAGGGATATTGGAATAGGCTCATTCATACACAGCGTTCATACGCAAAGTAAAAATGATCTTGGAAAATTTTATAGCTTTAGTCCCAGTACAGCCTGGTCTTTTCCATCGGTGAGGATGATGAACTTGGAACGATTTACTTTTTTGATGACTATAGCCAAAGTATTGTGAAAACACGCACTGTTTTGTCGAGATCGGTCGAAGTTACATGGCACAGGCTTGTGTTGTTTCCATTGAACAATTTCGCTTAGCTGAGTCCCAATGTTGTGATATTCAACACCGGGTCTTGGACGATTACACGACACAACTTCTAACACAACTGCTGCTTATGACTGAACTACGTAAATTGTTAAGTGCATCTGCGAGGAACAACATGCACAGATATCAGACAATGTTAATAGCCTTATTCCTGGTAGAATAATCAGAAGAGTGAAGAGATAGATGGATTTATATTTCGGCCACATGCCTTTATCAAAACGAATATCAGTAGTTAAATCAAAATAACGCAAATTTTGAGTTTGCTGGTGACATTCGCTTTGATAAAGGTATGAAGCCGGAGCATCAGTTCATCTAGGTCTCCACTTTCTTGGTTATTCTGCGGGGAATAAGGTCGCTGGTATTGTCTCATTTAACGACTTCACTTCTAACGCAATTACTGGTAGTGATTGAAATCCCACGACATGACTTCTGATGCGAATACTTCTCCTCGGCTCAAATTACAACACAAACATTTTGTACGCCATGAATTCTAATGAAACAACTTCTCATGCATAAATTTCTACGCGACACACCCAACACAAAAACTTCTGCACTTCATCACTTCTACGTGACAAAACTTCCAACGCAAAACATTACGCAACGCACGTGACATCGCTTCTAAGTCGGTCACATCGTCACTCCTCTCGGTCTTTCGATAGCGCCTGAATATGACGGCTACCACATCCGACGGTCATTGTGGCAGTCCTGAGTGACAGGGGTTATATAAGTGTCCAGGAGCCGAGCCATGCATCATCGAGCCAATCTAGCCAGCAACTTTTTATGCCGCGACTTTTACCTCCGTGGCTTGTATCAGTGATTTGTTTTGTCGCCGCTCGCCGTCTCGATGCCCTCAAGCGCCATGTGCCCGGCGTCGCGGCTCAGGGCTCCGGCCTCTACCGCTTCAAGAAGTGGTATGGCGGTGACCTCCACCAATCAGCGCGGCCGCCCACAGTTTATCGCTTTCTTCTAGACTTGCTGTCAGGTCAAGACGAGTGGCCGCTTTGGCTGCAGCCGGCCTGGCTGCTGTACAGAGGCGGTGCCGGACCCCGGAGCAGCGGGGCGGCCGTGCATCGCATGGAGCGCACCCATCCAGCCGCCGCACAGCAGCGGAGAAAAGGCGGACGTCTCGGGCTGGCCGAGGAAGGCGACGGGGCATCCGCGTCGGGCAGCGCTTGCAACAGCGACGACATCACATCGACAGTAATGGGGTCCGACGGTGCCACAGTACGACCTCACCGCCACTTGGATGCCACCTCTGACTGGCATACAACCGCGTTCTCGTGCAGGTGCCGCCTGCGCCTCTGAGCGTGCTCGTGGCACTACCGGAACCCCCGCTCTTCATAAGCCAATGGAAGTCCATCCCTTACTTGCGGGTTCCTTCCCGTTCCTTACTTTTGACGTCACGAACCAAGCCAGCTCAAGCAACTCGCCTTTCCAGCGGACGGACCTCTGGAAACTCTCTGGGTCCCAGCTTTATGGCGAGGTGAGCGGCTGACTGCGGCGGGCGTCATCTACCGCCCACCCGATAGCTCGGTGACGCTCAGCCTGGAGCACCTACAGGATCAGCTCCGAGAGTCCGTCGGCACAGGCAAGCCCGCCTTGCTCCCCGGCGACGTGAGCTTTCACGCGCTGGACACCAGCTCGCCCTACATAAGCCGCTACTCCGACATCATCAGCGAGCTGAACAGGGTGCAGCTGGTGGACAGCCCGACTCATCTTCGCCCAACTCCGTCAGCCCTGGATCACATCGTCACCAACCAGCGTGAACCCACACCTGAGGTCAACACCTTGCCTGACGTCATCAGCGATCATCGGCCCGTCGCCATGAGCGCACATCTGGGTCGTATACGGAAGAAGCCACAGTGGCTTACTCCGCGCAGCTGGAAGCGCCCAGACTAGAGCGTCACCTGTCTCGATCTTGTCACCTGCCGGGCACAAATCTCGATCTTCCGTCATCTGACTGGGGCCAAGTGGATGGCGCCACTGGCGTCAACGTGTGTCTGCCACACTTCATGACTGGGTGGAGCGCCGTGGGGGGTCGCCACTGCCCAGTCAGAAGAACGCGCGTCTCCAACGCGCACGGCTGACAGACGACACGGCCCTGCGGGCGCCCATGCCCGAGCCAGATAGCCCCCGTGGCAGCTGGCTGCGTCTGCGCTCACCAGAGGCCGGGCCACCTTAACGCGACTTCGCAGTCAGGTCGAG